GTCAGGATGTGCAGTCAAAAAAAGTGTTTATTGATTTTGCCTACGTTTCAACTCAAGCATGTGGGTCATCATCAGGGCAATGATATGAGTTCCGGACAAGAACTTTCCTTCTAATTATTCCTGTCATTTAATTCCTGTAATCATTAGATCATTATTGTAATAATTTAATTATTGGGATTGCAATTATTCATGTTATTTAATACTTGTAATTATTATAAGATAAATAGAGAATATTTTAATAAGTATTACATCAAGTTGAATCGATATGGTTAGGTGATAAGTATGTATACTTAACAAAAAGTAATAAGAGTAAATAAGTAAAACAATCCTTTTTCAGAAAAACATTTAAAGAGTTGAAAAGATAAGCCCTTTTGTCTTCCCCAAAACTTAAAATTAGCAAATCTTATATTTACTTCTACTCTTAATAGTACTTTTATTGAAAGATGTATTTTGCTTGTGTTATTCATATTTCCATTAGATTTTTCAAGTATATATAATAGTTACACGAATAATTGAAATAATTTTGTAATAATATAAGATAAATAAAAATTATATTTGTAATGATAAATAAGATAAATAAAAATTATATTTGTAATGAAGATCATTCAATAGAAATGGTAAATTTATTAATTCTGTGTAGATTTGTTTTAATCTATTATACCAAATACTGGAAACATTTTGTATATATATTTGCTCTAATACTCACACTTGAGTGCTTCTGTACAGAAATTACAAGATTCAATGTATTTTGTTTCAAATAAATGTATTAAAAAAAGCATTAATTATTATATTTTAAATCCTGAATAATTCCTTAGCCAAATCCCTCTATTCCTTTCCCTTTTTAATTTTTCTCCATAATTTACTCAGTTAACCAGGATACAATCCTTTAGTAATTAGTAATTTAAATGATATAAATTAAGCATACTCAATGAGTATGCTTTATTTATTAAAAGAAAATATATCATAGATGTTCTGTAAAAAGCTTGAATTCAACAAATTTGAGTTTCATAATATGCTACCAATTTGTAAATAGGGAATTATAACTTCAGATTCTCTCATATAAGAATGGCAAAAACATTACTTTCCTCAAAAAAATATATTTTTTTAAAGTAGTGTATTGTTTGGAATCACCCTTTTTACAGAACAAGATATAAGAGGACGTGAAAACAAAATGAATATAAAGAAATATATAATATAACATAAGAAAAAGGAAAGTAAAGTATTAATTTAATAAATGATGAAAATAACACATAATAGGAATATTTGTCATTATTTTTCTTATATTTAGACAAAATTAGAAAAAAATGGAAGCATTTTGAATTTTTCAAATAATTATAAAATATTTTGATGTATTCGCAGCATGAATAAACAAGAGTTATACTGCATAATATAAGAAATAGATATTATAAGAAAAGAAAAGTATTAATTTAATAAATGGTGAAAACAACACCTAATTAGAAGATTTGTAATTTTTTCCCCGATATTTGGAAGAAATAAGAAAAAATAGCAAGCATTTTGAATTTTTCGAACAATTCTAAAATATTTTGATCGATTCGCAGCATGAATAAACAAGAAAGTTATACTGCATAATATAAGAAATAGATATTATAAGGAAAGAAAAGTATTAATTTAATAAATGGTGAAAATAACACCTAATTAGAAGATTTGTAATTGTTTTCCCGATATTTGGACGAAATAAGAAAAAATAGGAAGCATTTTAAATTTTTCCAACAATTTTAAAATATTTTGATCGATCCGCAGCATGAATAAACAAATTCTTTTATAAAATTTATCAAATGGTGAGAAAATTTGAAGATTTAGGGTGAAATAGAAAAAAAAAGCAATTATTTAACTTATTTTTAAATATTCTGATCAATTCCCAGCATGAATAAACAAGGAAAACAAAAAAAAACTGGTCCCAGAAGCGTCTGACGCACGAATTCCGAGCTGAAAATCTTTATTTTGTATCAGGAGGGTGAGAAATAACAGGAGCTCACTTTTCGGAGCGGTCCTGGTACCGATAGTGCTGCTATCTGTTGGCAGAACGTAGGAACTACGAATTTCATTCGAATTTCTAGCGAGAAATTCGTCGATTTGTATTAGGACATTAGGAAATCGAAGGAGCTCACTTTTCGAGTCGACCAGGAGCCTTTGTAGTGCTGCTATCTAGCGGCAGCGCCTAGAAGTACGATTTCTTATTGCCCTGTTGGATGGTGCTGGCCTCTTTCGGCAGTTTTAAGAACTACGGTCGAGTTTCCTATTTCCCACGGTGGCTCCCTGGGTAGTGCTGCTATCTTTCAACAGGTTTTTGAACTAAATGGCGGTTTTGTCTTTCCTGGATGGTGCTGACCTCTTTTAACCGATTTTAAAACTAGTTTTTCATTTTATACGTTTATTGGATGGTGCTGCTCTCTTTTATTGAGTTTTAAAACTATTATCCAAAGTTTTGTTTACTAGTGTTGCTGCCTTCATATAGTTATAATAATTATTATTAAAAATTCGTTTAAACCTATAAATGATCTCTAAAATTGTTGTTTTCGTCTTGTTCTATTGTTTTAATGTTTATTAATTTAATTCTTAACGTGACAGGCCTCCACAACCGTCCAAAATATGCTAATAAGTTAAAATTGAGTGTAATAAATTCTATAAAATGTTTTATTTTTGAAATATATTGTCTTGACTGTTATCTATCCGAAGTTAGTGTCTGATTCTTTCATGTCTTAAAAGCAATACGTTATTTTATAATGTTTTTTCATCAGAAATTACAGATTTTAGTTTAATTATTTATCACTAGATTCTCAAAAGTGCATATAGTGAGTGAAGTGAAGTTTTAAATGAATCTAGAGAAATCAACAGTGAATTGTTTTTATGAATACTGATATGTAATAGTTGTGTTATGTATTTTCAAATATATGGTCAACCATAATAGACAAAAGCAAATCAATTTATTTCTCTAAAGTGTATGGAGTGAGTGAAGTGGAGTTTTGAATACATCTAATGACATCGTCAGTAAACTGTATTTATAAATATTATGGATATGTAGTAATTTTGTTATGTATTTATATGTATGATAAAACATAATAGAAGAATACAAATAAATGTATTTCTGTGAAGAGTTGTTTTTAGTTTACCCTATTCTTCCTTTATAATCAAACACTGATGCTCATTTCTGTATTATTATTAACTACATATTTATATCTTCTGAATGTATGTCTAATTCAAATTAAAACTAAAATATTTTTTTGAAAATTATCTTTTGCTGATTTTTAATACTTATAAAACAGTTTGATTATAGTTGATTGACTGTGGTTTAATCATGGAACAAATTATCAGGATTCAATCATCAGTTTAATGCCAAATACAACTCTCAACGCAGACTTTTGGGTGATATCAAGGATGAAATTAAATCAAATATACAAGAAATATATAAATGTATATAGTATAGACAGAAATAAATAACAAACATATAATCAATAGAAGTAAATTAAGGATAAAGGGAGTAGTAAGAATATAAATAATAATAGAGATACATATTATTTTACTTAATTTATCGTTATTTACTTTTATTATTTTTCTTTTTGAATCAAAGAAAAGGAAAGCAGAAAAACAACCTGTCTGAAGTTTGTCAATTTTTTTTTTTTACTGTGGGAAATTTGGGTTGTAATATATAAAATTTTTACACAAGTTTATTTATTATATATTTTACAAAATTACAAACAGTATTTAAGAGAAATAAAAATAACCATTTATATTACACTACATTTTTCTCACTTATAAAATATATTTAATAAGTAAAGAATACAAGTACATAAGTTAAATTTATATACATAAAAACAAAATAATGAATTATAGATATGGAATGTACTGCACAGTTAAGTCAATGTTTAAAAAAGTTAAAAAGATCTTTTTAAAAAAATTAAAATGAAGATATGTACACGTCGGTTACAATATTCCTGCTTATGATGAAAAGTTCCTTAATCATCCAACATACACATTCCATCAGAGACATCTTGAACATTAAGAAAGTTGATTTGTTCAACGGTGATGAATATTATACTTAAAAAATTCTAATAACTAGAAAATTAATTCCTAAAATATAAAGAAAACTGTAGATAACTAACTTTATGCTTTAAATTGGAACAATAAAATGTAAAATTGTAATATAAAAATTATAATTATTACAGTTTATTGAATACAAATTCTGTTTATTCATAATTACTTTATATGTGTTTATTCGCCCACTCCATAAATATTATATAAAGTGTAAAAATAATTTTAACAAAATTGAAATAATGAAAAAAACAACTGTACTATTCTTGCTTTGATGTCTCAGATCATCTTGTATGCTGGTGTTACATCTAAAGGTTTGTTATAGATCACAATTTTTGCTTTAATACACCTCGGATTGTGATTGTATCACTGTTACATAATAATGCTTATTTCATATAAATAATAACAATTAAATCATAGACAATAGTGGATGAATTGAAATTCAGTAATAATTATATTTGTTCTTTACAAAATAAAACTAAAATTAAAACTTTTTTAAACTTAATTCAAAATTGCCCTTTTTGTTTATTATAGTAGATAAGGACAAAACTGTATATTAGATAATTGCACTTTCTTTTTGTAAAAATTTTATTGAAAAATCTCTTTTGCACACATTTTTTTTTAATGTATTTATTATATTTTATTTTAGTTTTTTCCTTCATCAAAACATTACTAAATTAACATCTGTTTTTATTTATGAAGACGAATCCCCACCTTATTTAAGTAACAAGCATAAAAGTTCACACTATTAGAATTAATTAATATTATTAATTTTCCATAGTAATTATTGTATAATAAAATTTTAGTAACAAAAATATTGGACTCAATGTAGTAAAAAGAATCTCAGATAAAAGTTATGCATAATGTGAGAGTTAAAACTAAAATATAAGTTCTTCTTTGGTTTCATGAAAAGAATTTATTTTCTCATACTTTTATTTAGTATTGTTCTATCAGGTGTATTTCCTTATAATCATTAACAGGAAAAGGAGGCGCGATGAGGTGACCTGAAGAGCTGTAGCAGTAACCAAGATCTTGAAGCATGATTGGATGTTTTGCCGTATCTGGATATTTGCAGCTAGCATCTGAAATTTAAAAATAAGTAAATAAAAATAAAATGATTCATCATAGCTCGTCCACAAGAATATTGCAGACCAAGGGTGAACTCACATGACACTGAATCGAAACTAACATTCCAAATACTTTAAAAGTTCAATTATAAAATTTATATTTAAGGCGAAATGAAAACAAACATTTCAAGTATAGTTCAATTGTTCATCAGGTCAATTAATATGTGGAAAGGGAACATTTTTTCTGTTATATTCTTGTGAGCAAGCTATATTTTCTCCATTTATTTCTTTCATTATGAAATATGAAGAATATATATAAACGATTTAGTCCAGGTAAACTATTTATTTAAGTTCTATTTCTTTTTTTAAATATCTTTAAATTTTCACAAATTAGTAAATCCTACTGAAATTTTTTACCATTTTGCTATTACTACTATTCAGCACTATGAACCACTTGTTGAGTCATAGACTGCAAGTTTTCTCTTTTGCCTTTAGAAAGTATTTTTTTTTTTTTGTTTTTTTTTAGGTCAACATTTTGAGTGGTATATAAGTGCTGGTTGGATTATTGTTTTGGATATACTTTATTTTGATACAATATACGTAGGTATTTCATAGGTATTTTGGGAGGAAAAAATAAGCATCCTTCTCTGGATTTCTTCTTCCAAGCTGTTCTTTTGATTAATCTGGGATCCTGAGTAAATGAAGGATTGTCCACTTTTAAATCTATACTGCCGTATGAACTTTATTCATCTTCACTGGTAATTAGTTGCAGCCTCCTCCAATGCCTGAAAAGCTTCCCTCACAATATTAAGGGTCCTTCCTGTAAGATCCAAATCTAAAATCTGGACTTTTCTACTAGAAGTGTTCCTGTTGCTTAAATACATGCCCACCAATTTGGATTCCGCACATCTCATTCCACTATCCAGCAATGTCATCGTGTGGTGGACGTAGTCTCCTCTGTATTGGAGTGCAGGTTGTACTGCACGGGAGTCTTTCTCGACGTTGAACAGGTGTTTGATAGGGTCTGGCACCCTGGACTGATGTACGAAATCCGTAAATTCCTACCACCTACATACTTCCTCATCGTCCGATCAATTGAAAAAAAAAAGGATGAAGTAAAAATAATGAAGAACGAACTAATAATTTATATAAATATTTACATTAGTATCTATTTACAATTTCATGGGGACTGGGTGGATAAGAAATGATTGAACAGGTGGGATTTAAAGGTAGGAAGGGTATTAGATTGACGAATGTGAGAGGGGATAGAGTTCCAAAGGGATGAGGATGGGATAATGAAAGATCTGTCGAAAGCAGCAGTTCGGTGGGCCCTTATGTATAAATCAGAAGACCGAGAACGAGTATTGCGGGAATGAACAGAGGATTTGAATTGAAGGAGCTCGGAGATGTATGAGGGATGGTGGGATTGGATGACTTGAAAGAGGAAGGATGCCAGGAAATACTTACGATGGTAGGAAGGATAAAGCCACTTTAACTCTGCATAAAAATGGGAAACAAAGGCATCCCTTGGTATCCCGATGATGAATCGTACAAAGCAATTTATCAAACCTTTTAGTTTCGCCTCGGGATCTCCAGAGACACCCCCCATATACCGAACAGGAATAGTCAAAGTGGGAGAAAATTAAGGAAGTGACTAGGAGCATACCGGTTTCAAATAGAATAGGTGACGATTATAATTTAGATATTTTAGAGTAAAAATGGATACATGGTTATTCCAGGAAAGCGTTTGATCAAATGTTATTCGAAGGTTTTTGACTGTGGAGAGTTGAAGGAACAGAGTTGGAATATTAGGAACAGTTTTAAGGAGGTGATTGGAGCCTATTAAGATTGCCTTAATCTTTACCGCATTCAACTTCAACTTGTTAGCTCTCGCCCAGTCACAAATTATATCCAAGTCTTCTTGAAGTTTTTCTGTGGCAGATATTAGGTCAGAGGGTGGGAAGGACAGGTATATTTGGAAATCATCTGCATAGATGATTGGAGTAGCAACAGAGTAGGAGATAGAGAGGAATCTTGAGGGACACCACAGGTTATAGTTGGGACACAACAGGTTATAAACAAACAATAGTTGGTTTGTTTAATAAAGTTGACCATGAAGAAGGTGAAGTGTGCTGTCCAAGTAGGTGGTGGATTTTCTAAGGATTTTGAAACATATAAGGGCCTTTGCCATGGTCACAGCCTTGCCTGTTTATTGTTTAATATGGCATTGGAATGTGGTGTTAGAAGCTCAGTGTATAGATTGGAGGCATCTTATTTAACAAATCCTTTGCTTTGCAGATGAATTGGACATAGTGGGAAGAAGCTTGGCATCTATGAAGGAGGTATTTCTTACTATACAGGAAGCGGCACAAAAAACCTCCATAAATGAATGAGAGCTGATCTGCAAGCATTAGATTGGCAGGATAGCCACGTGAAAATCAGTGACTTCACTTTTGAGTATGTGAACAAATTTATTTATTTGGGCTCTCAAGTGAACTTCTAAGATTCAAGAGGCGGATCTTTAGAAGAATCCTTGGACCAGTGTTCAGCGATGACGTTTGGGGACAAAGAACTAATTCTGAAATAGAAATAATGTGTAACAATAAAAATGTCGTCAGTTTCATAAGGAAGACTTAGTTAGGCAGGCCATGTTGCTCGAGTGGAGAATGATGAGGTCCCCAAGAAACTTTTGGAAGAAAGGATATATATACATCTTTCGTCCTCATTCTGCCAAACCTGAATCTTCCTCTCTGGAGATTTTGTCAATGATCAAGCTTGGCATCCATAAGTAACCATTGCACTTATGTAACTGTTGAAGACCTATTTTTTCACATTAACAGTCACATTAACAGGTGTTAATAAAGGAATAAAAAAATAAATGCAAGATTTTACATCAATAACATGAAAAAGTCTAAAACATTTTCAAAACTGTTAAAACTTATTATTGAAGAGAAGTTGGTTGGGGATTGGAATACATATGAAAATATATAAAAATAAATTATATTTATTATCGTTGTGCTCAAATTTTGGCCTAAGTTTCAGGCCTTCACCAGGGCTAAGCAAAGACCAGGTAATAAATAATAATAAATACTGATAAAATAGTAGGCAGTAATAATAATAATAATAATCATAATAAGATCTGTTATTTCCTAAGTATATAAGTTCCTAAATATTATTTTATATATCCTAACTTTGTTACTGTTTTATAAGTCCCAGCTTTATTACAGTCACTTTATAACTTCGTAAATTTATATATCATAGATTTTCCATTTCACATATTTATTAATTTAGGGTTAAATACCTGCATATTGGTGCCATCAATAAAAAACCTTAAAAATGACTGCATTCAGACTATTTATAACCCATATTAATTTTGTTTTTCACTATTTATATATACTTGTAATATTTTCATAGTACATTATCTTCTTGTTTCACAATTTTAAAAATATGCTACTTGTCATAATATTTTATAAGTATTTTTATATCTTGCTATTGAATATATGGTATTTATATATTTTAATTTATCTTACACACATAATTTTTATTCGTAATATTTATTTATTAGTGGAGAGAATATATCAATTTCTTGTTATTCTCTTGCTTATATGTTTTAGTGGAAAAATTTATAAATGATAAGAGACTTTTTTTACAGATAACTTTAAAATTTTACAACTTTTTGTATACATGCACCAATGATTATTTGAAATAAATTTGAATTGCCTAAATAACAAAAAATAAATCATCGAAATCTATCTGAAAATTGTATATTTGCACCAATTTATACCTTGTGATAGATCAAAGTATTAAAATAATTTTTAAATAAGAAACATAATTGAGATTTGTATTTAGCACCTCCCAAATTAGCACCTCCAACGTCAACTTTCCCCTTCCCCTTAAAAATTCAATTTATTTCTTAAGCTATTTTAAATTATATAATACTTGAATTTTATTTCATTCAACATTTCTCTAATACAGTTGCTTTATTGGTAGGCCAAAATTAATTACTTAAATAGGTGTTGTATTTTTTTTTAAATTTCTAAAAAGTGGTGAGAGCCCCTATCTTACGCCCCTCTATGTCAAATCAATCGTTCTGATTGCCCCACCTTCAGGCGGGTACTGCACGTTAGGAACAATGAAAATCGTGTTCGATCCCCGATTATGTAATATTCAGTGTTTAATTTAATATTATCGATGGTTCGTCATTATTTACCTTCGAAAATGTTGGGAATTTTATCTACAACTTAAGCTTGTGCCCAGCGGGTTGTAGTGGTACAGGTTTATATATAACCAAACCTGTAACACTACAACCCATGAAGGGTTCAGTACTATTTAGGGAAAGCCTAGGTCAATGGTTGTGCAAGGAGGTGATTTGACCGAGATCACACTCAACCGCCAGATTTTCCTCCTTAATTAATTATTTAATTAAGGGTACCCACTTTATAGAGCCTGGGTGTGCCCCAGGAGGGACTCTCAACCCAGGGCCGCCCCACGGCCAATGAAATAGATGAATAAATTTTCTGCCATGAGCCGGGGTTTGAACCTGGGACCTTTGCATTGGAAGCTCAGTGATATATAATGATATATATTTATATATCAGGAGGTTTGATTTCATTAATTTCTGAGGGCTATAGTAGGCTCTGTTTCCAGCCATGATTCTGCTTTTGATCTAATCACTTCCTGTTTCTCACATTTTGATTCCACTCCAAGATAGTTGAATCTATCAACACTACCAAATCTTGTGGCCTTCTGGTTGTAGACGCAGATAATACCATAAATTTGGTTTTTTGCTTCATTACCTGAACACTAGCCCGACTTTCCTGCTTTCAGTACTCTCTTTCTCTCTCTCTCTCTCTCTCTCTCTCTCTCTATATATATATATATATATATATATATATATATATATATATATATATATATATATTACACATTGTTTTCCGAGATATTCAGAGTGCTGAGGTACTCTCTCTCTCTCTCTCTCTCTCTCTCTCTATATATATATATATATATATATATATATATATATATATATATATATAGAGAGAGAGAGAGAGAGAGAGAGAAAGAGAGTACTGAAAGCAGGAAAGTCGGGCTAGTGTTCAGGTAATCAAGAAAAAAAACAAATTTATGGTATTATCTGCGTCTACAACCAGAGGGCTACAAGATTTAGTAGTGTTGATAGATTCACCTATCTTGGAATGGAATTAAACTGTGAGAAACAGGAAGTGATTAGATCAAAAGCAAAAAGCAGAATCATGGCTGGAAACAGAGTCTACTATAGCCCTCAGAAATTAATGAAATCAAACCTCCTGATATATAAATATATATCATTATATATCACTGAGCTTCCAATGCAAAGGTCCCAGGTTCGAACCCCGGCTCATGGCAGAAAATTTATTCATCTATTTCATTGGCCGTGGGGCGGCCCTGGGTTGAGAGTCCCTCCTGGGGCACACCCAGGCTCTATAAAGTGGGTACTTAATTAAATAATTAATTAAGGAGGAAAACCTGGCGGTTGAGTGTGATCTCGGTCAAATCACCTCCTTGCACAACCATTGACCTAGGCTTTCCCTAAATAGTACTGAACCCTTCATGGGTTGTAGTGGTACAGGTTTGGTTATATATATATATATATATATATATATATATATATATATATATATATATATATATATATAAACCTGTACCACTACAACCCGCTGGGCACAAGCTTAAGTTGTAGATAAAATTCCCAACATTTTCGAAGGTAAATAATGACGAACCATCGCTAATATTAAATTAAACACTGAATATTACATAATCGGGGATCGAACACGATTTTCATTGTTCCTAACGTGCAGTGCCCGCCTGAAGGTGGGGCAACCAGGACGATTGATTTGATATAGAGGGGCGTAAGATAGGGGCTCTCACCACTTTTTAGAAATTTAAAAAAAAATACAACACCTATTTAAGTAATTAATTTTGGCCTACCAATAAAGCAACTGTATTAGAGAAATGTTGAATGAAATAAAATTCAAGTATTATATAATTTAAAATAGCTTAAGAAATAAATTGAATTTTTAAGGGGAAGGGGAGAGATGACGTTGGAGGTGCTAATTTGGGAGGTGCTAAATACAAATCTCGATTCCGTTTATTATTTAAAAATTATTTTAATACTTTGATCTATCACTAGGTATAAATTGGTGCAAATATACAATTTTCAGATAGATTTCGATGATTTATTTTTTGTTATTTAGGCAATTCAAATTTATTTCAAATAATCATTGGTGCATGTATACAAAAAGTTGTAAAATTTTAAAGTTTCTGCAAAAAAAGTCTCTTATCATTTATAAATTTTTCCACTAAAACATATAAGCAAGAGAATAACAAGAAATTGAAATATTCTCTCCACTAATAAATAAATATTACGAATAAAAATTATATGTGTAAGATAAATTAAAATATATAAATACCATATAATCAATAGCAAGATATAAAAATACTTATAAAATATTATGACAAGTAGCATATTTTTAAAATTGTGAAACAAGAAGATAATGTACTATGAAAATATTACAAGTATATATAAATAGTGAAAAACAAAATTAATATGGGTTATAAATAGTCTGAATGCAGTCATTTTTAAGGTTTTTTATTGATGGCACCAATATGCAGGTATTTAACCCTAAATTAATAAATATGTGAAATGGAAAATCTATGATATATAAATTTACGAAGTTATAAAGTGACTGTAATAAAGCTAGGACTTATAAAACAGTAACAAAGTTAGGATATATAAAATAATATTTAGGAACTTATATACTTATGAAATAACAGATCTTATTATGATTATTATTATTATTATTACTGCCTACTATTTTATCAGTATTTATTATTATTTATTACCTGGTCTTTGCTTAGCCCTGGTGAAGGCCTGAAACTTAGGCCGAAATTTGAGCACAACGATAATAAATATAATTTATTTTTATATATTTTCATATGTATTCCAATCCCCAACCAACTTCTCTTCAATAATAAGTTTTAACAGTTTTGAAAATGTTTTAGACTTTTTCATGTTATTGATGTAAAATCTTGCATTTATTTTTTTATTCCTTTATTAACACCTGTTAAATGTGAAAAAATAGGTCTTCAACAGTTACATAAGTGCAATGGTTACTTATGGATGCCAAGCTTGATCATTGACAAAATCTCCAGAGAGGAAGATTCAGGTTTGGCAGAATGAGGACGAAAGATGTATATATATCCTTTCTTCCAAAAGTTTCTTGGGGACCTCATCATCCTCATCACAGGGGACATATATATATATATATATATATATATATATATATATATATATATATATAGAGAGAGAGAGAGAGAGAGAGAGTACCTCAGCACTCTGAATATCTCGGAAAACAATGTGTAAGAATAAATAATACGTAGAATTCTCCTCATCAACGGATGCTATTATCTATTATGGTTCAGACTATTATTTTTCTATACAAGACACAGGCGGATTTACGGGGGGGAGGGGGCTTTCGGGCTGAAGCCCTCCCCAAAATTAAATCCTGGATCAGCTAGTGCAACAAGAAATGTCTAAGTAGTAGCCAAGACATTTGGTGAAAGATCAAATGAACAAAGATGCTTCAGAGCTGCATGGAGATAGAAAGCAATATCATAAGATAAATGGAGTATATTTAGTGTGAAATGTCTTGAATCTATTGGATGTTTCCCCGAGTCGCACTAGCGGATCTAGGATTTAATTTTTTTGGGGGGGAGGGGAGGCTTCAGCCCGAAAGCTTTTTTTTTCATAAAAATAACGATAATTACTTTGGAAAAAAAAGAAAGATACTAACTACTTGTATGAAATGGTGTTTAAGTGATTCTTGAAGTTCTATTAAATGTAATTACACGAACAATAATACTTTAAGAGATAATTTTCAAATATTTTTTTCCATAAAACATGGTTATATTTTACCATTTTGGGGGGAGGGGGCTTCAGCCCCAAAGCCTCCCCCTCCCCCGCAGATCCGCCCGTGCCGAGTTGGACATCATTATTCGATCTATCTAAGCACACTACCGATTTCATGGCTCATTTAATACAATAAAAACTTTGGCAATGACACTTGGATAAACAGGTACTAATTGAAATTGTATATTCATCAGAAGGTAAATAAGCTTGTGATATAAATACATGTACTCATATCTTGATAGCTTGTTTCACTATTTCCTAGCAGTAATCATTTTGCAGTAAGTAGTTTTAAAATTAATTAACCTACGATCTCTGACTGATGTGTTACTGAAATTCCATCAAAGACCTTTGTTATACAAATCGATTATGAGACACTTGACTGTATTCGATAAGTCGGGATGTTTTTCCGTATTTGGGAATTTTAATTGATGTATTTTAGTTTATTATTTTCGATAATGAACTATTGTAATCGCCCGAAAAATTCAAAAACTTAACCTCCCCTCAAAACTTGAGGTTTTATTTTTCAGGATGCGTAGAATTCGAAAATCGAATAAAAATTTATTAGTCCATCCGCCACCCGCGTAATTTTCCGAGACTACTGGACCGATTTTTTTTTTCAAATCTGGATTTATAGTCAGAGGTCACCCGAGGATGATCCTCCTACATCGACATTAATATCCACCCTTTGCTTTCAAGGTGGCGGCCGAAAAACCAGTGTTGCTGTAGACTGTAGCACCTAAACGAATGTACCGATTTCACTGAAACTTGTGAAACTTGGCTAAAGTCTTCTTCTCGATGCCCTTTAAATTTATCTATATAACATACTTCAACAAAAAACGTTACGAGGGGTGGTAAAATTAGATTTCAGAATAAGTCAAAAAGTATATACTTTTTGGTTAATATTTATGGTTATTTATAAGTTAATGAAATTTCCTTAAAAAAAAATCGTGAAGATCGGACAATATGGCGCAAAGATTTGGTGTCTAGATATTTTTTATATGTCCTTCTTACTGCAAAGGTCATATCCTTGGTTTTGGTTTATGATTTTTGATGTGTTACTGAAGCAATTTTTTTTTTTTTGTAGCAAATTACTCAAGATGAAAAAAAAAAATTTTTTTTTACTACTTTCCTTGTTGAAATATTGTAATTTTGTTAATTAATTTTTTTTGGAAAATTTAGATTTTCGATAGTCAAATATCAAAAATTTAGAGTGCTACCAGTGGGTAGTTTCTCAACAAGCGTGTTTCATGTAATAATATTTCTCTGTACAAATTTACTAGATGTATTCATACTAATACAGTTGTAAATATCATAATAAAAGTTAAAAAAAAAAATATATCAAAATTGATGTAGCGAAATAAAATATATTGGCCAGCTATCGATATATCAATATCTTTTCCAACAACCCTACCTACATCTACCTTTCGATACACTGAGGTTGTTGAGGGATTCCTCCTATAGCTTAAGGCTAAAGCTTAGTTCTTGAAGCCATCTGCCATATTAGTTGTTGAAGCCATATTAGAGTAATGATTCAGAATTAGTAACGTTATTATTTGTTTAGAAATGAAATCGCTGCTGGTATGTTTGCTGCTTTGTCTGTCTGTGGCGATAACCCTGGGCGACCTCACCTGTGACTGCGGGAAGAGGAACACTGTTGGTAGATATATGATATGGTACTTGGTATAAATAGCGCTGATATATTAGTCCTGCATGTTCCTTGTGTCTCTTCTAGGGCAGGATCATTGGAGGGAAAGTCGTCCGGAAGAACGAGTACCCTTGGGTCGTCTCCCTTAACGAAGGATGCGGAGGTTCACTCATCACCCACTGGCACGTCCTCACCGCAGCTCACTGCACCTACGGGATGTCCTCTTCCGATCTAACGGTCACCGTTGGAAGTCATTACCAAGTAGGAAGTACGTCCGGATAACTGTTTCGAAGGTAAACGACTACTTCTAACAATGAATAAAAAAAAAAATTAAAATATATTTTAATTTTTTAGTAAACTGGCACAGTAAAACTTACAAAGTAGCGCAGATAATTCAACACAAAGGATACAGGGATGAGGATAGCAGTGTTGCCGACGACATTGCGGTCCTGGTTACGCAAAAAAAAATTAACTTCGACAATTATGTCTCTCCAGTTTGTCTTCCAAACAGGAAAATAAATCTCGTCGGCGAATACATCAAAGTCATAGGTACACTAATACACTTTACTTTTTATTTTATTTTATTTTTTATAGGGTTATATTATTCTTTAACAATTGAGGACATGAACAACAGTTAAAACAGAAATCATTCACACCATATTGACAATAAATTAAAGATATGGGCAGTTAATAGCTGGCCTCCTCTGATATTCGTTAAAACATAAACAATTTTCAATTATTATGTTCTCAATTAAACAAAATAATTGACTCTTGAAGCTACTTATGTCTAAGTAGAATAAATGACACTGAAATATCACTATATGCAGCTGAGTCCTAATAAACTAACTGTTAATTATCATTGTATTATAACGACAATAAAAAGCTATAATTAGATATTGATAATTACATAACTTTGATGTTTGATAATTATATATTATAATTATTGATTGCAGGCTGGGGATTGACCAAAAACAACGAAGTATTAGGCCTTGCCAATCGTCTCCGAGAAGTCGATCTCCAAGTTATCGATCCAAATGTTTGCAGAAAATCATGGTCATTGCTGAAACAAAATATTCAGATTTGCACTTACACATCCAAAAAGGATTCTTGCAGGGTTAGTATTTCACTATTAAATGAATCGTTTTGGATCAAAACCCAAAATGTCTATTTTTTATGAAAAATAATTATATTTAGTATGTTACACTCAAATCTGGTTTTCTGGGAAAGAAATAACTTCTAAAAAGGTTAAAAAAGATAGTATGTAAGACGAGGATAATACCACTACTCACCTATGCCAGTGAATGGATTCTGGCCTCAAGATACAGGAGCACAATCCTGGGGTGTCCATCTCCCCCAAGACCGATGGGGCATAAACCTTCCCCCTCCCCTCTCAAGATATTTTATTCCTCTCTTCTTCTTAAAAACAGTGCAAACGAAATTTGTATTTAAATATTCGTAGATTTTACACAATTGCACATACTGCGGTCTGTTCCATGCTTCCACTTGTCTTTTATTTTAAAACTTATCATTTTGAAAATTCATAACCCCGTCGAAATGGGCCCTCTCAAAAATTGGAAAAACCGCCAAAAAGTGCCCCCTCATTAATTTGGATGGAACAACTTCCACCATGAAACCCCCTTCTGGACACCCCTGGCCCAATCCAAGCACTAGGAATGAGCTAGCTGAGGAGGAAACAAGTACAAGATGGAATAGGGTCAGAAATACGACAACAAGAAGTAACCCGGGAATTGAACTGGCTAGACATATTATAGAAGAGAACCGGCTATGGTTGTTTGGCCATGTCAAAAGAATGCTGGAGTAAATAATTGTCAATTTCACGAGAGATAGTTGGGAGAAGAAGCCAAGAGGAAGGTCCAGAAACATTTGGGAGAGAGCAGTCCAGGAGAAAACCAGCTGGTACGGGATCTAGACTTTTCTTTGAGGGCACAAGCAAGGCCGTCGCCCTGAGGCATCGCGTCTATGGCGGCAGATTAGGGACAAACATTGAAACCAATTAACAGGAAACCAAATTTAAATAAGAGTTGATAATGAAAGTATATGTGTTAAAAAGTTTTTAAAACAAATCTCATAAAATAGATTAATTGTAAATTAATTTTTAATATGCGAACAAAAATTACAGCAAGCCGAGTTGAGATTTGAAAAGTATCTCTACTTAACTATTTAAATATTGGGTAATAGAGTATTAGCAGATTTTGGATAGAGCGTGTTGAGAGGGAGGGAAATCTCGCCCCAGGCGCCAAAAACCTCCGTGACGGCCCTGGGTACAAGAAGGTTTGATTGAGAAGTGGGATTTAAAAACACTCTTACCGATGGTTTAATGGCAATCCATAAAAAAATCTGGATCTAAACAAAAGTTTAATACAAAGTTAAGGTTTTAATTTAGAAAATTTTGGATCTTTAGTTCGTTTCAGCCTCTAGAATCCCAACCATTCTTATTGTAATATCTTAAAACAGGCGATGATCGTGCCTGATCACAATAATACTGGACAGGTGAATTGGTAGAAAGAATGAAAAAAATCCATTACATTCTCGGTAGCTATCGATATTCCTTATCGACCTAAAATGGCAATATTCTTCTTAAGTAAAATATATTGAAATTGAAAATTTTCACTTAGAGTATCAAGTGAAGATGCCATTTAAATCGAGTTCAAACTTAGTCCAAAAATCAAAAAATTTTATATTTTTTCTGTTCATCCTTTTATAAAAATGGATATGACGGATTTTGATCTTAATTAAAATAAATTTATAAAATATTATATAAATTAATGTTCATTGAAAAGAAAAATTTCAGCTTAAAATGTGGTGTTTTAGCAACCTTTTAGAAGAGGATACTGTCTATCAAATTGCAGTATCACAATCAAATAACTAGAAAGTTGATTGCTCTTCTTAAAAACAGTGCAAATAAAAATAAAATGAGAAAGTTGCTGTGGTTGATTCCATGCGTTTTCACTTTTTTCCTGGATATGTAATTCATCCATATTGAAACCCCATGAAATATGGTTCCCTGCTTGTACCGTTACAACACACAAAATGTCTTGGATTCAAGACTTTGTGAGGAAGAACTGTTTCTTGGTCAACGGTTGTGCAGGGAGGAGGCTTGGTATGATCTAGACCGCACAACCGCGAGGTTTATCCCTTAATTAATGATACCTTTCTATAGACGCTGGGTATACTCCAGGTGGACTCCCGATTTCAGAGTAAATCCACGGCCAACAAAAAAAAAAAAAATTTATCTGTCATAAGCCGGAGTCGAACACGGGACCTTTTGCACTGGAAGTCAGTGCCCTACCAATGAGCTACCCCACTCCCCTCTAAAGAATCATAAACTCAAAATATGCTCACCTCAAAAATTTTGATGGCACAACATGCATCATGGTACCCCCTTATGGGTAATCCTTGTTGGAACATAATTTCCTTAGATCTACGATTTTTGAAATTATATCATTTTTGAAAGAAATATAATACAATAGAGAATAGATCTGAACATCCGAGGGCACCTCCTGCGAAAACAGGCACATCCTCCAGCAAAAAGAGTTATGAAGAAAAGGGAAGTTATTTTGCACATAGCTCTGCAAATATACAATTTATGGTATTTATACCTACAAAACAAAATAAAACGACCAAAAAAAAGTTTATAATTTTAATTTTTTCTATGTTCCTTAGGGTGACTCTGGTGGTCCATTGGTTTATCTTGACCCAGAAAGTAACAGATATACTCAGGTCGCGTTGGTCTCTTATGGTGACAAAGAGTGTGCCAGTTTGAAACCCGCCGTGAACACGGATGTTTATGCTTACCGTAACTGGATCAATGATGCTGTCAAATGTAAGTATTGAAAGTTGATATAAAATAGACATACATTTGTATTTGAGGATTTAATTATAACTTACTTATTTTTCAGCAACGCATCCGGAGGAAAATACTTGTGTGAAGGTTTAAACTCTCCCAGAAGCGAAGAAAATTATATGCATTTATTGTAAACAATCTACGAGTATATAAATATTACAAAATCCAAATATTAATTTAATTTTCACTTACATCCTAACATTTATTGGGGTAGTTATTAAAAAAAAAACTTAAAAAAATATGGTTAGCTGCCATTGATGTTCAGCTTATCACTGGAGAAAGTGGTAAGAACATTATTTGAAAATAGAGGGATACACATCAGAATGAATCATAAAATTTTAGGATTTTTAGAAGATATTGCTGTCCTGGGATGTAATCAAGAGGACACAGAGAGATTGGCTAAAACACTGAAAAGAATAACAGCCCAAATCAACCTAGAAGTAATGAAGATAAAACAAAATACATGATAGTAAGCCAAAAAATCCACCCTAACAGAATCTGCGTAGAAGATTATTGTATTTTATTTTTAAATATATTCTATTAAAATAAGGGAGTTATGTAGCATTTGGAAAAATCTTACTGATACATAGCCTATAACTAATGTTATTTAGGAATGACTCGAGTCGGAAAACATCTCTCGTTTGCTGAGTTGAGAAATGATTTCAAATTGGAAGTGGTTAAAATTAAAACGGCATGGCAAGAATGTGTTAAATTAGTCTTTAAACATAATTTTTGGTTGTACAATAAAATAAAATTTGAGTGCTTGTGATGAAGAAACTTTGCTAAATACTTTGAATAATGGTCACCCTGTTAAACATTTGAAGACTGCTATGTTTGAGGTAAGATCAATAAAGTTCAAGATGGAATCGACACGCTAGCCACAGGAAAAAATGCGTTTGCCACAGAAGTCTCAGTTAAGTCACCACACCAACTGCAATGGAAGTATTGGATCAAACCTAAGTAGTATTTAAAATAAAATATTTTAAAACACAAAATAAAATACATTTTTCTTATTTAGCAGTTTAAGATGAAAAATTGTACAATACATTTTTTGAAACTGTATTTTTTTTACAAAATACAAAAAAGAATTTTTTTCCCTTCCAATATACTAATATACAAAAAATGTATTTCGTTTTGTTTTTAAAATGCACTAAATAAATTACCGAATTAGTCATTGTAAGTATTTTATCAAGTGTGATTTTTTGTATGAAATTGTCCCATGTGAAAATCGAGCTTAGAAATTGTTTAAGGTTGATTGAGTTAAATTTATAACACGATTATTAATGAGCATAAAATTGAATAGCTTCAAAAAATATATATTAAGGACGCCAGAGTTTTATCACAGGAAAGGTTACAAGAATATATTTTGTTAAATAAACAAATAACGCTCTGGACCGAAAGATGTTTAATTTGGAAAAATACATGCTTTTTTTAAAGTACTTTTCAGGTAAGAAAAAAAGAAGGATTCAATTTTTGCAACACCATAGAGAATATTTAAAATTAAATAATTTGATCAAACATCACTTTTATTATAAATAGTTCAGAAATAATATGAATTGAATAAAATGATTTAATATCTTAAAAGTATATTAACTCCTCCTCTAATCTTATAACATACAAAATACTTTGGCTATTTTATATTTGAAATATTTTATCTCGAAACATTTAAATACTTTTTAATTAAAATACAGTAAATTTTTTTATTGGTTTTTTGAATACTGTATTTTAAAATATTTTTGCCTAGCTCTGTATTGGATCCGATATTGTCAAGTGTAGTTTTGATAATAGATTATTATTGGAAAAATTCCAAACCACACGGTCTTATGTCTCCAAACTGCAGGCAAAGAAAAACCTGTCAACGTAGGCATCATCAGCACAGAAAAATAGCTAATCGAACATCACTTTATGAAATCCAAGTAAAGGAAGGTCAAGCTTTCATATAATATCATATTCATTTAACATATTAATTATATATATATACATAAAGAGAAAACTACAGAAATACTAAGAACAGCAGTTAAGTAACAAATATATATAATTTTCTCTTTTTATTGGGTAGATAAATAAAATAAATGTCAGGTGTTAAAGTTTTTTAGATTTTTTATCCATCCCACTACAGTTATCCCTCTGTGTGATGGCGCTATCTAGAGTTACACAGATGTCACTACTATTGTGAGATTCTCTCTTCCAATTTCAACATATTTTAAGTAACAAAAATTCACCTAACTCTTGATTGATTTTATTCAATAAAATCCACTCCCATAACATTTATAATTAATTATCCGTTTTTGGTATTGTTTACAAATGTAAAAAACTAGTAAAAGGAACAAAACAATTCTGTCATCAGTCTGAGAAATATTAATATATTATCAAAAATATATTCTTTTCATAACTTCTATTTGACTATTTTGTTGATGACCTGGGGGTTTCAAACCTATAAAAAACAACTGACAAACAAACTATTTTGAATCATTCTGTATTTATTATGTATATAACGCCAACAATACAGTCTAGGCCATAGAAATTTCATCACTTACAATCAGTAAAATTTTTATTTCTCCTAAAATTGACATGACGGCATGTTTTTAACAAATGCTGTGTAAACTAAACAATATATGATCCACTGAAAAGCAAAGAACCTTTCGAAAAACACATGATAATCTGTATAGAAGTTTTTTTTGTATATGGAGTGAGGAAATTTTTCAGAATTTCATCCTCTCTATAATGGGAGCAGGGTAGCTCAGTAGTAGGGCTTTAAGATTCCGGTGCTCAAGATCCCGGGTTCGAATCCCAGCTCATGAAAGAAACATTATTTCTTCTGTTTCATTGGCCGTGGGCGACCCTGGGGTAGTGAGACCCTCCTGGGGCACACCCAGCCTCTATAAAGTGGGTTCTCTTAATTAAATAGTTGGTTAAGGGGAAAAACCTGGTGGTTGAGCGTGATCCTGGCCCGATCTCCTGCACAACCGTAGGCCTTGAAATAACTTTCCCTAAATAGTCCTGAACCCAAGACTCTTCATGGGTTGTAGTGGTACACGTAATAGGCTATAATTCAAAATTGTGTCTTAACAGTGTTAGTGAGGCGAAAAGGAAAAGAATAGTGTCGAAAACCAAATGGATTAAAATATTTCAGGAACTAAAAATCGGACCTGCATACTGTAAGCCAAGGTTATAAATTATAAATTGTTCACTTTATAATTTATATTTCATATTATTAATAATGCCTCGTTAATGTTAGCACACACCTTAGCTTTTTTAATTTATTTTTTTAAACAACACATGTAGATTTCTTTACCCTTCCCTTGGATGGGGCTGTTCCCGTTTTCAGCTGTAAACTCTGCAATAGTTTTCGACTATTGATTATCGGGATTTCCTGGACTATATTAGGATATAATAAATAATAAACTTAGTTGTAGTGAAATGTTCCTAACAACCACAACAAATTCATCGTTCAACAGTAAGGAATATATGCGATCTAGGTGGACAATAGTCCAGTAAGAAATAGTTTGAACATGATCTAAATTAACTAGAAGAAAAGATAACGAGTTTATTTTGAGCTCAAAACGTGCAAATGCAAATTAGAAAGTAATGAGAGCCAATATTTATCTTGAATCAATACGGATAAATACGGATCAATTGCGTATTAATAATAGTCTACAACTACAAATTGAATTAATCACCCCTTCTCAAGTTAATTAGACTATTATTGACAAATGCCAATTCATTGATTACATTAATACATTGCTCGAATAGTAGCTCTAATCTATAAAAGTTGAACGAGTCTAAAAATGGGATGTCACAGTCAACGGGTCACCTATTTCAACCAAAATTTGTTTGGTGATTCAACTTACAAGAATATTAGACACGTGTCCTAATATTTCATAACAGTTTATCATAAAAATTAACATTACATTACATGTAACATTAAAGAAAATAAATAAAAAGGGATTCCTAACATTGACCAAAAAAAATTTCTCAAATTGTCCACTTTCAACGATTTGTTTTGGTTTTTTTTAGTAAAATTCGTAAACCACCAACATAAAAGTGTATACTTCTTGAGTTATTAGGAAATATAATTTTACCATCACTCGTAACTTTTTTTTCCAGCTCCTTTTTATTAAAGTATGTTATATAGATAAATTTAAAGGTCATTAGCCAAGTTTCATTGAAATTGGTACATTCGTTTAGGCGCTAAAGTCTATACCAACATACAGTTTTTTCGGCCGCCATATTGGAAGAAAAGGGTGGATAGTAACGTCGATGAAGGAGGATCATCCTCGGGTGACCTCTGACTTCGATTCCATATTTGAAAAAATCGGTCCAGAGTCTTGGAGAAAGACGCGGCCGGCGGACAGATAAAAAAAAAAAATGTATTCGATTTTCGAATTCTACCTATCTTGAAAAGTAAAACTTCAAATTTTGAGGGGAGAGAAGTTAAATTTTTGAATTTTTCGGTCGATTAAAATGGTTCATTATAATAAACCAAAACATTAGACATGTCAAATATTGCAAAGTTTATCACGTATGACTGTTAGAAAGACTTGTTAAATCAAACCTACGTCTTATTATAATACAAGCAAATTATGAATGGATAGAGTAATTTACACTTGTAGTATAATGTTTTAAAATTATGCGATTCATATAATAATGATTCAAATTAGTTTGTCTCTCCGATAAAATTGTATGATTTGTAGTTACGTCATCGGTTCAAAGAATGAGCGATATGACCCATCACAAACTCTATTAGAAAAAACAATTCATTTTACATTCATTGATTGGATTTAAATACTGATTCATTAAAGGAGAAATAAATAAACTCAGCTGTTACTACTACCGAAGAGGACAATAGACCTAATCATCTGTCTGCATCAACAATCAAACAACAATCAGCCGAAATATATAATATTTGACAACCCTTGAGAATGGTTGTTGTAAACAACATCGAAACTTTTAGTAAAAGTATTATTGGCAAGACACTAATAAAATAAAATTATTTAAGTTTTAAAGTTTTCTCTGCAGTAACAGATGTAAATGTAGACGGGTACGGCTGTGACAGCATTAGCAGAGATAGGCAGCATCGCAGGCAGCGTCCTCTGACGAAGCCTATTTATCAAACCTCCTTTACTCTCTCAATCTGTATTTAGTCCCGTACAACCCTACCCATCACACCCAATACTCAGACTCTTGGCTCGATCTTTGCATTATTGACTCTCCGGATAAACTCCTCGCCTCATCACAGCACCCGGTTCCGTTTTTGTCTGCTCACGATCTCATGCAGATCTCTTATAACCTTCCTGTCCCTCTATTTAGTCCCCGATCTATATCTTTCAGAAACTTTAATCTCCTATCATCCGAAAGTTTAATGCCCGATCTTGATGCAATAAAATGAGACTCCATATACTCTTCTAACTCCGTTGATTTTATGGTATAATACCTTAACCAATCAACCCCACATTATCCAAGACCGTCACGCTCCTTTTAAAGTCAGGACAATCAAGTACCCTCCAGCCCCTTGGTTGACGCCTGCAATAAAAAATTATATCAAACGAAGAGACGCAGCAAGACGAAGGTTTAAGCACACTCGACTCCCCGAAGACTACATGAATTTCAAGCTGCTTCGAAACAGTACGCAATCACAGTACGCCGTGCTAAATCCCACTACTACCAACAATCCTTATCCAGCACACCAAACATTCATTTTGTCTCCTGTTCATCCGATACCTCTGTCCAAGCACCAGTTCCACCCCTCATACATTCCCCCTTTAATCCCAATCATTTTTTCTTTTCGCATATTACCCCTGATGACCTCCTTAAATCCATTTGTAAATCCCAAACCAAAGATTTCGGACCAGACAATATCCCAGTTAAATTAATTAAATTCTCACTTCCATCCATTTTCACAGTTCCTTATCATATCTATAATTTCTCACTACAAAGTTCCACTTTTCCCAGCACCTGGAAAACCGCTCTTGTTCGTCCTCTGAACAAAATCTCTAAGCCCACAACCCCTAATGATTTCCGTCCAATTTCTCTGTTATCTAACCTTCCAAACCTTTACAACAAATAGCACAATCTCAACTATTCCAATATCTCGAACAAAATAAACATTTGAACTGCATCCAGTCTGGTTTCAGACCAGACTACTCCACTCATTAAAATCTCCCAAGATCTCCACATAGCCATAGACCAACTCACCATCCTGATCCTTCTTGATTTCTAAAGCATTCGACTCAGTTGACCCTAATATCCTACTAACCAAACTTAAAAATATTTCCTTATCATCTAGTGACCTTAAGTGGTTCCAATCCTTTCTCACCGATCGCTCCCAGTACGTTGTAGTTCCTAATAACCCTCAATCAATGTCTCTACCTTTGTCCAGAGGCGTCCCACAAGATTCCTCATTATCCCCCACCGTCTTTTCCGTCTACATCAATGACCTCCCTACGTTATCTACGTTATCTTCTTCCGTTCAAAACCCGCCAACTCCTGGTCTCCTCTCTTGTTTTCCGCCACTTCGACTATGGCTGCATGATGTATGGTGGACTCTCGGGAGAACTCGAAGCTAAACTTAAACGTCTAATGAATTGCTCAATCCGCTTTATCTTCGGGATCTCAAGGGATACGCATATTATCCAGTTCTACACCAAGTTGAAGTGGCTTTATCCGTCCTACCGCCGTCAATATTTCCTTGCTACCCTCCTATACCAAACCGTTAGAAGACGGCGACCTGCCTATATTCTACGGATCCTACAATTCAAACGCTCCTTTCAATCCCGTACCACCAGATCCCGTGCGTCCGATCTCTATCCTCCTCCTCACCGAACTGCTGCGTTTGATAAATCCTTTTTAATACAAGTTGTCTCCCTCTGGAACTCTATACCTTCAGATATCAGACACGCAAAATCGATATCCTCTTTCAAATCTCTCCTCTTCGAACACCTACTCCATTCCCAATCCGATTGATCACGAAATGCTCTTAAAAACCTAAGCTGTAAAAACCTCAAAGTACACCCAGAGACTCCGATTATTTTGTGATTCATCGATATTTTATTTACTTAATTACTTTCTCTGTATATTTTATATTTACACGTTTTTATATCTTTTCATTAATTTTTAACGTTATTGTATTCCTAATCAACATGTAAATATTAAATTGTATTTTATGGACAAACCAAAATATTAATATATATTCTGTATTTGTAACTTGTTCTAAAGGAACACTAGTCCCAGAATAATAAAATTATTTTCTTTCATTCATCGTTGTTGATTCTATCCATCAATCTAGTTTTAGACCTCTCATGCCTCCAAAACCTTCATAATGAATTGTCCATCTTAATCTCCTTGCCTTCATATTGATATTGACTAGTTGTTTTTTATTTACACATCTCCTATGTGCACTAGTATTCTGATTTCAGAACGCTCCGCTTGTCGTGTGATGAATTTTCCTCTAAAATGTTTCAATGCTTCTTTTTAGGATGCTGGTGAGTGTCCAAACCGTAAATCAGAACCGGTTTTATAATAGCATTCTAGATTCTTAATTTCAGATTTCTAAAGATTTGTCGAGATTTCTATACCTTTGAAAGAGAGAAGAAAGATCTATTTTCACTTGTTGGGCGCTGGTCTGTTTCTAACGGCTGTTCATTCATTGATGTTATTGTGTAATCGGTGTGTTTCAGGCGGATTTAAGGGGTGGCTTTCGGGATGAAGCACTCCCCCAAAATGGTAAAATACAATCATGTTTTATAGAACAAAATATTAAAAGCTATCTCTTAAAGTATTATTGTTCGTGTAATTACATTTAATAGGACTTCAAGAATCATTTAAACACCATTTCATATAGATAGTTAGTTACTTTTTTTTTTTGGAATGGTGGGAAAGTGGTAAAAAATAATAACAATGATAAAAAATAAATAAAATGTCTATATCCCCTCCAAATTATGTTAGAAGGTTGAAAATTTGACGGTAAATAGGAGGTTTGGGGTCTTGACTTTTTCCTACCATCACCACCATTTAATTTTTTGTGCACCTTTACAGCCCCTCCAAATCATCTTGATGATTGTATGATGAAACAATTTTGATGTTTTTTCGTTTGTTAAATCTTAATAAATTAATTTAATTATATTTCTTAAAGAAATGGGAGGATGATACGACTTTAGTGATATAACTTTTATGTTCATACCTTTCTCTGATTTGGATCGAAACGACGGCAGCCTCAATAAAAATAATTGTTTGACTACACATTCAGACCATTTTTCATTCTTATATAGATGAAATAAACAAATTTATAAATAATCCATCTCAAAAAATAGACCTAGTTTAACTTAAATACTTCAAAAATTTCATGAAAAGATAATTTCCAAATTCAGAAGAAGTATGATATGTTTTCTCATATTAATGTAAACTAATGTGTTTATAAAGATAAATTTAGATGGCTGAGGAACCAAACAAGTTGATAAATTAGGGCTACGTAATTTACATCTGAATAGCCAATAATTAACCCTGTTTGCAATTTATTAAATTACTGGACTGATTAAATAAGAATTCACTATTTAATTCTCAATTGCGGGATCTATCTGTCAGTCCGTTACGATAACACATCAAGTGAGTATCCTTCCAATACATAAGTCATCAACAGAAAGCTAAAGTTGTCATAAAATGTATCTTGTATTAAACTACAGTTTTAGGAAAAACATTGATAAAATACGGGAAAATGTGTGTTTTTTTTAAAGTATTCCAACTAACTAACAATTTTGTTATCAGAGTTTTATCAATGAATAGAAACGCTAATAATATTTTTATTAATAGAATTTAGGACTATAAATTAGACAAATTAGACATTATGTATATTATAATCTTAACATTATATAATAATAATAGTCTTTATTTATGTACATACATTTTATTTATTGGCTTATAAAAAGCGTAGCGATGGAGTCTGGTCCAATCAATTTGTTAGTTTGTAAATAACAAGTACAATATAAAACTTGATATAATATAAGGACAATATAGGAAGGAAAAAAAGATAAATAAATTAATATAAAACAATATGTTCAGATCTATATAAACTAAGTTTCACAAACAAAATAAACTTAATTAAAATAAAAAAATAAATGTACAAATTTTATTAGAAACAATGATACATAAACTTAAATATACTTCTTTAGGTCGCAATAAAGCGATGTATTTGTTACCATTTTAACGGTTAAGAAAACATGCTCTATATTTATATAATACACTAGCGGATCCAGGATTTATTTTTGGGGGGGGCTTCAGCCCGAAAGTTTTTTTTTCATAAAAATAACGATAATTACTTTGGAAAAAAAGAAAGAAACTAACTACCTGTATGAAATGGTGTTTAAGTTATTCCTAAAGCCCTTTTAAATGTAATTACACGAATAATAATACTTTAAGAGATACTTTTTTAATATTTTTTTCGATAAAACATGGTTATATTTTATCATTTTGGGGGGGGGGGCTTCAGCCCGAAAGCCCCTCCCCCCCCGTAGATCTGCCCGTGATATAATATACTAACACACGAATAATCATTAGTTTTAAAGTTACTGGTTATTAAGTAAACTATGGGAGTCAAAAATACGAACAATAAAGTAAAACACATTGTTCAAGTGTTCAAGACTTTTAATATCTAAAACTCTCTCCAACGATAAGTCATCCGTGCCCGCATTGATATATTTATCGAGATATCTCTTTCTATGAATCTCAACAAACGAACATTCAAGGATCAAATGCTTTATGCCATTAGTGATAAGGTGACCGCACCACTTACAAACTTCTTCAGCCCTTAAAACATGAGCGATATTTCTATGATACAGCGCCAGGCGGTCATTACTCGAAACTCTCAGACGACCCACTGTTCGCAGCTTTCGTAGAGGGACAATAAATTTGTATACACATATACATCTTATAATAGCAGTATTTCCATTTCCATTTAAATCTACTCTTTCTTTATATACATGTATATAGACCTTCCTTTAAGGAGTATTTAACGGGTACTATCCTCATTTTGGTTCGCTGAGTGTTCACTATCTTCAACTTCCAGTATTTTCTGTCCTTAGCTTTTCGTGGACACAGCGTTTCTTTTACCTTCTTTATATCGTCTACCCACCTTCTTCTTGTTCTGCCTCGGTTCCTTTTATATCCAAGTCAGTTCTCGTCGTTTTTCCTCATTAGATGTCCAGCCCATTGCCATTTCATTGAATTTTTTCTCATGGCGCTTGTTGAGGAATCATGTTTGGCATCCATAAGACATCACAGGTAGTATACACGTACAGCTATTGAGAGCTAATGCTTTTAGAGGCTGGCTGATATTGTTGTTCTTCATTCTTAAGCTCCATTATTTCCGAAAAGCCATGACTGTCGTTGTTTTAATCTCTGTTGATTGCCTATCTTTAAAAGAAATTGTTTGCCCTAGATAGGTGATTTCGTCTACTATGCTTATTTCTGAAAGGTCTGTTTTAACTTTGGTGACATTTGAGTTTGTAATTATTTTTGTCTTCATGAGGTTCAATGATAATCCGTGTTGGGCACTTCTGTACATAAGCTGTTTTAGCATGGTCACTATTTCTTCTTCTTTTCTTAAAATCAATAGTACATTATCTGCATATTTAAGTGTGGTTAGTTTTTCACCTTTGATATTGATTTTATATTGATCCCATTTCCTTTAGAATAAGTTCCAATACTATATTGAAGATCTATGGTGATAGGGTATTCCCTTGCCTGACTCCCCTCCAGATTGGAATCTCCTTGCCTTTCCTGTCACTAGATATAAATGCTTTGTTATCGGTATATAATTCTGTTATTAAAGAGACATATTTTTCCTCGAAACCTATCGACTTGAGAGCTGTTCTGATGCAGCTATGATATATGCATTCAAAGGCTTTGGAGAAGTCAACAAATCCAAGATAGACGTTTAAGTTATATTCTTTACTTTTTTCTATGAGTTGGTTCACAGCGTGTAAATGATCAATTATAGACATGCCCTTCCTAAAGCCCGCTTGGTCCAGAGGTAAATTTTTGTCTATTGTTTCTGTTAATCTAGTTTGGATGATTTTGATGATTGATGCAGTGGACCCACAAAGGTTTCAAGGACGGAAACTTGGATTTATTATATTCACTACATACCTAAAAAAATAAGAAATAAATTAGCCGACCTTTTGCAAGGCAGACTCCTTTTTTTGTGCTAACTTGACTGGATTAATTAAACATAAAAATTCAAAACATCGTTAAATACATACATACAGGCGGTCAACACAAAAACCATGTTCGTGGTTTCGCTGTAGTAATTAGTGTTATGATTTGAACTTATTGAGTATTTTATTTTATAACCGAATCTCTAAATTTACTGTTGTTGTTATTTGATAGATATTTTTATCATTATTTTATTTCTGTTCAAGTTATTAATTTATTATTTAATTATTACTACACAGAAATGAAGGTATTGGTGTGTCTGATGTTAGTCTGCCTGTCGTGGGTCAGCGCCAATCTCAGCTGCAACTGCGGATGGAGGAACACAGTAAGTAATTCTACCAAAATTTGTTCATCATGCTTCTACTGTTTTTATCACTACTAAAAAAATGTTCTATTCCAGGGCAGGATCGTCGGTGGGAAGGAGACCCGTAAGAACGAGTATCCTTGGATGGTGTCTCTTAGCAACGGATGTGGAGGATCCATCATTACTCCATATCACGTGCTCACTGCTGCTCATTGCACACATGGAGAAAGACCCTCAGGGATCACAGTTTCCGCCGGAAGACACTACCAATACGGGCGTAAGTAACAGGATTTTACAAAACAAAAAATTATCATATACGATAATTTTACAAGCAGTCTCTTGCTTGTATTTTCTGAAATGTGGGAAAATAGAGGAGCACCATAGAGAAGGGCGAAGAATGCTTTTGTAGATGAGTAATTTTAATCTGAGAACAAGGTTTGAAGTTGTGAGCAGGAGATTTGTAGGATTTTTGTCTAATTTTTGAAGTGGAATGAGCGGTAAATTTTAGATGCCTGTCTAATTTAATTCCGAGATAGACCAAATTATTTGATATTTTGTTGTATGGATCGCCAACTCGAAATTTGTTTGGCAATTTTTTCTTATTTTTTTAAAAAAGAATTTATATTATTAAACGAAAATATTATACAATCGGTTTTTGTTGAATTTACATGGATATTTAACAATTTAAGTTCATTTTGTATGGTATTGCAGGTCTGTTCCGCTTGTTTTAATGCTTTTCTAGCATTCATAATGCCACTGTATATATAGCAATGTCGTCTGCATATGCCATTACAGATGCCTTCGGATAATTTTTTCCAATTATATCAGCTTTGTAAATGTTGAACAGAGTTGGTGAAAGGACCGCACCTTGAGGTACTCCACATGTCAAAGGTATTCGAGTAATTATCGCCAACATTTCGAGTCAAACTTCGGCCATTGAGGAACGATTTCAAAATACAGTGCAACTGCTCTGGGCAGTGTGAAACGGAATCAAAAGCTTTTGAGCAGTCAATCGAGATCATCGCAATGGCAGCGTTACGTTCCAGTTTTTGGGTACTTTGGTTTTGCATTCTTGCTAAAGGATACTCCGTGCACAGCTGAGGTCGAAACCCAGTTTGTTGGTCAGGTATTACGGAATGTTCCTGTCAAAAATCTTGGAGATATTTTAAGATTATTTTTTCGACTTTTGGAAATATGAGGCAACAAACTTATTGGACGCTAATGCACAGGTTTATCTCCTTGTTTTTTTCAGGTTTTAGTAACGGATATAATGTAGCATGTTTCCAAAATGCAGGAAAATATCTGAGCCTAACACAACTGTTGTATAAGTGACAAAGATATATCCAACCTTTCTTCGGAAGTTGTTTCATCAGGATTGTTTGAATTTTATCTAATCCTGGAGCTTTGTTCCCTTTGGTTCTTCGGAGTATACTTTTCAATGTTTCAGAAGAAACAAACACAAAATTTTCTCTTTGGGTTATGAAATAATTTTTTATTTTTTAAATGTATTTATCTTATTATACAATGATTGGGATAAATTTATTTCGGAAATCAGATAATAATTCACGAGTCTCTAAAATCTGGCCCAGCTAATTTTTTTTTTGTACACTACATATTTCTTTATTTAGTATTATAACAATCTAAGGCCCAGCTAATTAGAGTTGTCCATTTATTTTTTTTTTTTTTCTGCGTTGGAAGGCAGGTATATTTTTAAGAGAGTACAGCTTTATGGTGGGTATTATATTCTTTGAAATAAGTTTTTATCACACTAGCACACCTATATACTTGTTCTGCAACTAACAACAAAGCAAATGGATCCATTTTTTTCGAAGATCATTCAGGACAGTAGGGATACGAATTCGTATTCGTTTTAGAGCCCGTTGAACAGGATGCACGGAGTTTCGAGAATCTGATATATATAGGAGCGGGATAGCTGACAAAAGGTTGACTAAATATCAGTATTTCAAAGAGGTTTTTCTCAAGATTTAAATAAGTGACTTTTAGATATTTCGACTTTCTTTTCCTATTCATCTAATTTTTAGTCATTTTAAAAGGTTTTTGGCTCCTCTAAAACTTCTCGTAAATGAGTTAAAAGTGCGAAAATACGTACTATAGTAACGGATACGTAGAATTCGAAAAACGAATACAAATTTTTTTGTCCGTCCGACGTCCGCGCATTTTACCCGAAACTACTGGACCGATTTTTTTTCAAATTAGGATTTAAAGTCAGAGGTCACTCCTTCATCGACATTACTATCCGCCTTTTCCTTTCAAGATGGCTGCCGAAAAACCTGCGTTGCTATAGACTATTGCGCCTAAACGAATGTACCGATTTCAATGAAATTTGGCTAAAGCGCTCTTTTCGATGCCCTTTAAATTTGTTTTATAACATACTTCAACGAAAAGAAGCTGAAAAAAAGTTACGAGAGGTGGTCACATTATATTCCGAACAACTAAAAAAGTTTACACTTTTTGTTGATGGTCATTTAAATGTTTACGAATTTTATTAAAAAAACAAAACTAATCGTTAAATTTGGAGCATAGATATGGTTTCTAGATGTTTTTTTATATGTTCTACTGCAAAGGTTATATCACTTGTTTTGGATTTTTGAATGTGTTAATGAAGTAATGCTATTTTTTTTTTTAGCAAACTACTAACCATGAAAACAAATTTTTAGGTCAATAATTGAAATCACCTTTTATTTATTTTTCTTTGTTACTAGGAAGGTAATATTACTTTAGATGTATAATTGTTTGGAAATAATAAGCCATAAATTTGAAGTATTTTTATTTTGTATTTTCTCACTGTTTTATAAGAAATCTACATGGAGGTTTAACTTTTGACATTTTATGTATGTTTTCAGAAAACCCAAATATACAAGAACATCGTGTAGCTAGGATCGTTCAACACAGAGGTTACGATGACGACAGCGACGCTTCTCTTGATGACATATCTATCCTTGTACTTGCTACTCCCATCCGTTTCAACCAATATGTCGGCCCAGTGTGTATGCCAAGCAGCAGATATAATCTGTTAGGAAAGTTCATCAAGGTTACAGGTATTTTCATAATAAAACGGATTTGACTGGTCACCAATAATTATTCATTCCTGAACTAATTCTAATCTTCCGCTTAGGTTGGGGTCTGACCAAAGGCACAGGCAGCGAAAATGCTCTTCGTGAGGTGGACGTCGAAGTCATTTCCAACAGTGTATGCAGACGTAGCTGGCCCCTACTCAACTCTCGCCCAACTCAGATCTGCGCCTACACTCCCAAGAAGGACTCTTGCAACGTAAGTATTTCATTTTATCATAGATTATTAGATTTTTCAACGGAACCAATCCACCAATCAAAACTAAGGTAGAAAGTGGACGATCATGAATGCGGTTGTGCACAAGATTACTTCGATCACACAATGTAGATTAAATTTCGATTTTATACGAGTCTGCCGGAAAATAAGCGGTAGATACTTGACAACTAAAAGAATCCACCATCCATTCAGAAATTATGTGGAAGAATACATTTCCCTTTTCTTGGTTGAATTAAAAAAGTTAATTCATTATGATAAACCAAAAGTTGTGTATAGTTTAATTTAGTCTATATCTTTGCTCATAAAAGTCCCATTCCGATATTATTTTTAAATTTTGCTGGGAATTTTATAACATTTTAATTATTCATGGATTTAATCCACCATGAATTGCATACTTTTCTTGTTATGAAGAAATTATTATATAGTTGTGTTTAAAAAAACAAAACAAATAACAATTAATGCTATTTTTCAAAATTTCAGCAATATTATTTTCCAACTTCAGTTCATTCCGATGTTCTTCATAGGCACACCGCTCAGTCTAGTTTTGCATCACCACGCAGGAAAGAAATTCAGATGCCCCCTTTGTCAATAGGTGTTCCTGTGTTAGCCTTGAGTGTCCGATTCGTAATCATGCTAGGCCGATCTCTTTTATTCTTTTCAACTGGAGGTGCACTCGATTTGTTATTACAATAGTAATTTTTATATGAATCGGAATCCATGATGCATCAAGATTTCTTATCGCAGGTATAAGGTTGGGCTCAAACGGAAATTGAAAACTGTACCAATTCTTGGATTTTCCTGTCTATTGAATGTGAAAGTCGCCCCTTAGCTTTTTCTTTTAGCTCTATCCTTAATACCCGATATATTGGTCTACCATAGTTTTTGAGAGTCTTGAGTCCAAAGGTTCGAATTTATTATTCAGATCAAGTTGAAATTCGCTTTTTACTTCAGGATATTATACCTCATTTGTCCAATTGATCTTCTCTTTTATGGATTTACTTCAATTTCCGACATGATTATTCTTAACAAGCTGTAGTCCAAATCACCATTTTCTACATTATCTGTTGTTTCATATCACCAGTTCTCATCCACATTATTTATTTGTAAATAAAATTTATTAGTATTAAATATCTTAGAACTTTATATATTTTTGAAACAAGTAAACCTAGAACAGTTAATGTTTCTTTTTGTGTTTTTGATATGTTTTAACTCTTTTTATTATATTTCTTGTTGCTTCATCAGGGAGACTCAGGCGGTGCTCTGGTCTACCTGGACCCTGACACCAACAGGTACACCCAGGTGGCTTTGGTCTCCTATGGACATCCACAATGTGGAATAGTCGCCAAGCCATCGGTCAACACTGATGTGTTCGCATACATCGGTTGGATCAAGCAGGCTATTGCCCGTAAGTTTGCACACTATTTACCATAAACTATAAATAATTAAGTTTCTTATTATGTTAATATTAATAAAAAATATTTCATTTTTTATTTTAGAAACCTACCCAAAAGAACAGATCTGCACAAAAGTCTGAACTGGAGGTAACTAGATTTTAACCAATTTTTATATGAAAATAAAAGATATTTCTATTTAACAAAACTTTTTCTTTACCTTATCATAATGGTATATACTATCCTTTCCTTTCATGCATTTTTGTACATATATGGTATCTCTAAAGGACCCATTTACAAAAACTGCAAACCTTCCAATCAAAAGCACCTTGGTATGAAGGAAACAAAACTCTACATACAGAACTCCACCTTCCAACAGTTGACCAACATATAACGATCCTTTATCAATGGTTTTACACGAGATTAAACGGAAATAATAACAGACGAATAAGAGAAATGGCCAAAGCTGACATACCTCAGAACATGAGGAGGAGACTAAAAAGGCATTGGATGAGAGATATCCTTCCTAAAACAACCTAAGTAATTGGAACATATTAGAGAAGAAGGTCTGCTGAGTACTTTTCATCCCCATGCCTGCCATGTCATTATTTCCTGTATTGCCACCACATTTGCTGATAATCAACAAATAGTTGACAGGCGAAAATACATTTTTCTAGATACAAAAGTTCCTCTCCTTATAGACGGCAAAAAGTAAGAGATAAAAGGCAGGTTATGTGACGTAACAACATAAAAAGGTGACGAAAGATAAGATAAGAAGGGAGGTTTACTGGGGACCAGACCGTCCACAAGTACCATTTTTGTTTGTTATTAATGAGTATGATGGTCATCTATAATTGCTAAAAATCGTTATATAGTGTAAAGGAGATAGTTACAGTTCAATTTTGTATAATAATAAAAATAAATACACAAAACAAACAAACAAAGGTATTATAACAGAATAACAAGTTTATTATATATTTTTTTAAGATAAAACACTTTTTTCTTTGTTATTGTAATATTAGAAATTAATAGTTCTAGTTTGTAATAATTTGAAGGCATTGTTTAGAATAAATTATTGTACGCGAATGGATTAGCTTGTTTCAATTAATTGGTTAACAAATGTTGATTACTTGTTTTCCTTAATATGAAATTAAAATAGATTTAAGCCTTGTTTTTTTTAGCTACTGTATTTAATCAGAAAAAAAAACTGCATCAATATTTGTTTGTTGAAGCACCTATAAATGTTATAGGTAATATGTAATACAAGATAATAAATATATTAATAATACAGAGACGCCCAGAAGTGGGTCTCATGGTGCAAGCTGCTCCATCAAAATTTTCGAGGGGGCATATTTGGAAGATTTTTTTAATTTTAAGGGAGGGAGGGCACATTTTGACAGGGTTGTGAATTTTTGGAATGAAAAGTTTCATACTAAGGGACAAGGAGAAGACATAGAACAGACCACAGAAAGTGCCACCTTGCTCTTTTTAAGAAAATATGAGCAATAAAATATCTTAGTGGTGGGAGAAGGGGGGAGGTAGGTTCTTACGCCATTGACCTTGGAGGGGATGGGCACTCCTGGCTATATATATATATATAAATATATTGCTATGATAACCAATTAGGAAATTCTTCCACACGATAACCGGAGTGATCTGGGATCAGGGATCAGAGTACTAACACATGACGAAGAACAAACAAAGAATTGCTTACAGAAACTGGTCAATCAATATCCCATGATATGAAGGCACAGAGGTTAAGATGGGCGGGATATGTAGCTTGTAGCAATCCACCTGGAAGCCTCTACGTAACAATGAATGCCTCAATAAAAGTCAAAAGACCACATGGAAAGGCAAAAAGCAGATGGGTAGATAGAATCAACAAAGGTGCAACAGTGCAGATAAATAGAATGAAATAGCCCAAGACCTGAAAAGATGAAGCAGGCAGATCTACATGATCTGTAATGCCAACAGAAAAACAAGATATATATATAGGTAGAGTTGTCCGGAAAATAATGCAGCATATTGGTTTAAAAAGAAAGGTTTACATCTGTTTTATTTAATCAAAATTGTCTCCACTACTATCAATAAATTTATGCCAACGTGTTGGCAACTTTTCCATTCCCTCAGAATAGAATTTTCTATCTTCAGTATTGATAAAATCCAAAAAACACATTTCCTAGTTCCCTTTGTCTATTAAATTATTTGTCACGTAAGTAGTGGTCCAGTTGCCTAAAAAATGATAATCCGTAGGAGAGTAGGGCGGATGTGGCAGAGTTTCATATTCAAGCTCCAACAGTTTTGTGACGTCACGTTTACTGTTATCGAAAAGTATCCACTTCTCATCGAAAGGAACAAATCCGGACAGAAAAGGGTAGTTCTTGTTTCGGCAAAGAAGTGTTGCACAAAATTCATAACACTGTTTTTTTTTGTGCTGTTTTTTTGCGGTCGTTTAATGTGTGTGGAAACCAACTTTCAAGTTTTTTTTACCATTCCAATCGCCTTGAAGCGGTCATCGACGGTCGATTTGCTAAGGTTATGTTTCTCTGTAAGTTCGCGAACAGTTGTTCTGGGTTTTCTTCCACCAAAGTCCGCAGAACATCGTCATCAAGAGAGGAAATCCTTCCACGACATTCTTAATCTTTAAGGTTGAAGTATCCCTTCTGAAATATTTTGAGCCACGTTTGAACAGTGCACTCATTAATGTTGTTATCGTTCCAGATTTGATTGATTTTTCTGACCGTCTGGGCCCCATTCGACGAGTTTGACTCTCGAACTCGTATAACAAAATTATACGAAAACCACGCATTGACAGCTTAGTAAAGATCGATTTATTTATAAACAGCGAAATGCTACATAGGTGAACAAATATTACCGTTTAGAGGAGGATTAAACAAGTGTTGACATTCATAGAAATGAATAATCCAGTAAACATACAACAGTATAACAGTTTGTTATATAGAGGGGTATTTTAAAGAAAACTCAAAATCCTGCATTATTTTCCGTACCACCCAATATATATATATAACGGTATGAGAAAGTTTTCAAACAAACCAAATTTTTATAAAAATGATATTTTTTATATTTTGTTAAACTGATTAAACCATTCGGATATTATTGGTATTATCATCATCATAGTCATTCCCTCTTCTACCGTCGTTCGGTGTGAGGGTCCTGCTTATAGAGTCTGGCCCAGCTGTCTCTTTCTTGCACGGGCGGATCTATGGGGGTTAGGGAGGGGGCTTTCGGGCTGAAGCCCCCTCCAAATGGTAAAATATAACCATGTTTTATGAAAACAAAATTTAAAGAATACCTCTTAAAGTATTATTGTTAGTGTAATTACATTTAAAAGGACTTTAGGAATCACTTAAACACTATTTGATATAGTTAGTTAGTTTCTTTCTGTTTTTCTAAAGTAATTATCGTTATTTTTATGAAAAAAAAGCTTTCGGGCTGAAGCTTCCCCTAACATTAAATCCTAGATCGGCTAGTGCTTTCTTGTACCGACTCTATTCTCCTATTCCAATCTATTCCGCGCTTCCTGTATGCCTCCTTTACACTGTCCTCCCAGGAGATGATAGGCCTTTCTCTGGATCTTTTTCCTTCTATGCGAGTCTCGTAAGTCTTCCTGGCGCTTCTATCTGGATCCATTCTAAGAAGATGTCCAAACCATCTTAGTTTGTGCTCCTCCAGGATGGTCTCCGCCGATTAGACGTTGAGATTAGCCTGTATGGTGGCGTTATGTATCCTATCTCTCAGATATGGAACGCCACCATATGGACTAATGTTGATATAATTTATGTATTTAAAGTAGCATTAATGTCAATTAACATCGAGCTAAAGGACTAATAGCTAATTAATGATTAGCAAAGGAAGACTGGCATATGCATAACATTTGAAGATTCTAGACCATCCCATTCTTCATGCGTCATATTCTTCCGACTGTGTCGCGGGATATAGTTTGGAACCTCTGGTATATTAGGTTGGAGTTCTTATTAATGAGTCAGTTTTTTTATTTGCCGGCATCTGCATTTTGAAATTGACATTCTTAAAGTGTACATTTTAAGCAAAAGGACCATCCCAACTTGTATTAAAAATCAAATAAATAAGTAAATTAATTCTATATCTCAAAACATAGGTCAAATCAAACCTAAATATTTCAAAAACCTCTTGGAATGTACTTTCGTTATAAAGAAACAATATTTTATGTTTACCCAAATTGATATGCAATAGTGTGGCTGTAATAAGAAATTGAAATTTCTTCAGAAGTCAAGTAAATAGATAGGCCAGTATAAATTTACATTTGAAGAAAAGACAATTAGTTTTGTTTACAACTTGATTGAATTTATGAATCGATTAAACAAGGATTCACTATTTAAATATCGAATGCGGGTTCGGCCATCCTGTCGAGAATAGCCAGTTGTAGCTGCCACAACACTTTGAGTGAGTATTCTTTGAATAGATAGATCATTAAGAACCAAGATTATTATCAGTGAAAGATTGCTGTTTTGGGAATAACACTTATTCTTTACAACAGCAAGAACATTTTTTTGGGAAGGGAAGGACACACTCCTTTCAAATTCGGGACCCAAATTGTGTGTCTATCAAGGTAGTTTTCAGTGCAATAGGTCTATCATTGATCAAATCTATTGGGTTGACAAATAAGTCCTTTCGTTTTTCCAGGGTGAAATAAAACTCAATGCATCATAGACATAAAATTTATTTTAATCTACAATATATTGACAATTATTTAATATGACTTTTTCCCATCTTTCTAATAACTGCATAATGCCAAGTTCATAGAATGTCTGGAGTTTATTGTTGAAAAACTGATCCAAGTGATTTTTGATGTCCTCTTAGGTATATAAAAAAATATCTAAGAGTGCCGCATACTTGGAAGAGCAGGGGAAATACAAGCAGGGCATTTGTGAAACTCAAAGGGCGCCGCTTGTTTGAGATATGGGTATGCGGTACCTTCATTGTGCGTATATAATAAATAAAACTAATGCTTTGGCTATAGGACACGGAGACAAATTTAAAATAAAGTAACAAAAAAAAAAAAACTTATGAAATACTACCATCAGTGACAGGTCGTTCCAACATTCAACAAAAGAAACTAACTAGGAAATAAAGACTAATTTCTCCATCCTCAAATTTATTGCCCCCCCTATTTTAAACTAATGTATCCCCTTTTGACAACGCTCTCACAATTACTTCAGATGAAATTCTTATTAAAAAGGAAAAAATATTAAAAAAAAAAATAATAATGAATTCCTGGCATGGGCCTACGCAGAGGAGGGCAGAGGGAAGCCGTTGCCTCCTCTAAATATTACTGATGTTACTTGTTGATTGTAATGGCCTAATGTATTGTGCCTTTAATATTCTGGAGAAACAAACCAATATTTTATCTACTATTTTTTAAACTAAGATTGATAATACATCTCATATAGACACATATTAATTATATAAGTGGGAGGGGCAATAATATTTTTTGTGGGGGGAGGGAGCATGCGCCATCGGCCTCGGGGAGGATGGCTACCCTTGGCCAGATAATCCAATTGCCGTGTAATATTTAGGCCTCTACCTAACATTAACACTAAACGTACCATAACGGGTCAAATGACCCATATTGAACTTTTCCATTGAAAATGCACGTATAATTTTATTGCGTTTGCATATTTGACTTCATGACTTTTTCTAAGTAATTAATGTACAGTTATAAAAATATTTTTGTTTTGTTTATTCTGAGTAATCCTTGTTGTATACCGATATCTACCACAACAGGTCATTTGACCCGGAGAGAATTTTTTTGTTTTATGAGATTATCTAGTCATATTTGTAGTCAGTAAGTTGCACATTCTTCCAAAGACTGTTGCGTAAAGTAGTTCAACGAAAATAGCTCAGAATAATTTCAAGAAAATATCAAATTTTAGATTGAAAATAGCTTTTTAGTGTAAGAAAAAGTGGCAAAAATTGAAAGTCTTGGTAAGTACCTAGCTTATATTTTATTTTGATAGCTATAGTAATACAGATCATTTTTTACCCAGAAAAATGTCGAAGCAAACAAGACAGTACAAGTTCTTAGAAGATATAAATAATATTGGCGAAGAGTTTTCAGAAATTAGTGAAGATGAATTTTCTGAAAATGAAGATATATCGGTTGCAAATAAAAATGAGTTTGATTCTACAGATACTGACGATGAAGAGGAAAATATTGTGAATGTATGTAGTGGCCGAAAAAGAATAAGATTACTCACAAGTTCGGAAGAAAGTGAAGTAGAAATAAATGAAGAAAATGTTGCGAATGATGGATCTGTTTGGCAACAAATGCAAGTAGGTGGCACACCTGGAAGAGCACCACTGCGATGAACTATGAATTAAAAGTTTTTATTTTTTGCTTTTGTAATAGAAATGCTCAACATACTATTTTGTTTAATCATAATAAATTTAATTTATATTTTTATTTCCTTCCTAACATCCATATTTCATACATTCAAGCATGAAACATAAAGTCGGGTCATTTGACCCGCTATGGTAGAAATAGGTATATATTAAGACTTGGTATGATTAGTGTTAAACTCCATTGAGTCGTATTATTTAATCCACCTATCTCCATGTTGATGGAATGTACCCTATCGGTAGTGTATTTGAAAATGACTTGTGTCCCTCAGCAAGCATTCTCATCTTCTATCCCTAGACTAGGGGCTACCTACCATTTCATTTAATGGAAGGACTTAAAGTTAATAACCATTTTCAATTCCAGATGAACCTCATAAACCAAATTAGGCCAGACGGATGGTAGTTGAATGAGGGCAAAACTCAAATAGTCGGTTTCTCTTAAGTTTTTTGGGATGCTGAATCTGAATTTGATGGGCTCGAACGAAATTTTCTAAATTTTTGGAAAATTTCGTTCAGGAACATCAAATTCAGATTCAGCATCCCAAAAAAACCGAAGAGAAACCGACTATTTGAGTTTTTTCCTCATTCAACTACCATCCGTCTGGCCTAATTTGATGATTTTGACGCTTCAGTTTTCAAAATGCAACCGAGTTCATCATCAGTTAAGGTTAAAGTTAAAATTTCAGCGGCATGCACTTCCATTAAATGAACCGCCACATTTCGTTTTTTTAATTTAAATTTTCGCGTAGAAAGCAAACGCATTCAACCGACTGACAGAAGTTGTGTGTTCAGATAAGGTTTATCTAGAATTTAAAATAATTACTAGCTTTAAGTCCTTCCGTTAAATAAAATGGTCGGTAGCTCTTAGTTTATCACACCACCTTGTCGGGTTGGCTATTTTGATCCCGCCATAGCTATTTTGTATGTCTCCATAGTAACTAGCTCTTCAACATAGGCAGTGTCAGGGAACCGCTCATTTTCTAATACTGCCAGCAAATCATGAAAAACCAACTTCCTTGGTACCAAGGACTGATTCCTGAGGACGTCTTTCTATGGAAGCCTTTAACTGCCTTTGTAATAGCTGCCCTGATCAACCTACGTCTGTCCTATTTCTTTGTTGATCCAATTGGGGTTTCAAGGTAGTCTTATAAACCTTACACCAGAGTTCCTTATCTTCATACAATTTGCTAAGAATTTTGATATATGTGTTTGATTTTATTGTAAGATAATTTTATTAATAGTTTATTTCAATTTAAGCCACTAATCTACAATTTAATGTTAATAGACAGAATGAAGTTATTGGTGTGTTTGATGTTAGTCTGCCTGTCGTGGGTCAGTAGCGCTAAACTCAGCTGCAACTGTGGATGGAGGAACTCAGTAAGAAATTTTATTGTATTATTTTTATTATACTTCCACTATTTCTATTCTAACTAAACAATTTTCTGTTCCAGGGCAGGATCGTCGGGGGAAAGGAGACCCGTAAGAACGAGTATCCTTGGATGGTGTCTCTTAGCAACGGATGTGGAGGATCCATCATTACTCCATGGCACGTGCTCACTGCTGCTCATTGCACACATGGAGAAAGACCCTCAGGGATCACAGTTTCCGCCGGAAGACACTACAAATATGGGGGTAAGTAAATGGATTTGACATACAAAGCTATTAGAAACAACTCTTATTTCAGACATCACCAGGACCTTTAAGCTTAAATAACATGAACATAAAGAATAATTTTATTATATTATATTTCATAATAACTCTATTTTAATTGACATTATTTTTGTAAAAAAGTGTTTTTATTTTTTTTTCTCAAAAAGTTTTTAAAAATTATTACATTAAAAAGAACCAATTACAATAAAATTACAGAATAAAGTTCTTGGTAAAATGGCAAAAAGAAAAGAAAAATTGTTGAATATTCGAAAGCAAAATAAAAATAAAACAAGGCATTTTGTATATAATAAAACAAGTACAACCATATAGTAGTATGTTATAATAATCATAATAATGCTTTATTTATTCTGGGACGTGTCCCTTTAGAATAATACAGAAAGACAGTAATGTGGGCTAAGTAGCCTCAGAGATACATAAACAAAAGTACAAAATAAATAAATAGTCATAATAAAAACTAATAAAATTATAAGTTACTTCCTAATTTTGATCAGTTAATAATAAAAAAAAAAAATGGAGTAAAAATAATGAAGAACGAACTAATAATTTAGATACATATTTACAGTGGTATCTATTTACAATTTTATGGGGCTGGATGTATAAGAAATGATTGAATAGGCGGAATTTAAAGGTAGGAAGGGTATTGGATTGATGTGGGAAGAGATGCAGTTCCATTGGGATGAGGATCGGATAATGAACGATCTGTCGAAAGCAGCGGCTCGGTTGGCCCTTTTGTATAAATCAGAAGACCAGGAACGAGTATTACGGGAGCGAACAGAGGATTTGAATTGAAGAAGCTCGGAGATATATGAAGGAAAGTGGGATCGGATGACTTGAAAGAGGAACGATGAAAGGAAATACTTACGACGGTAGGAAGGGTAAGGCCTCTTCAACTCCGCATAAAAATGAGAAACAGTTATATGCAAATATATTTTAAGAAATTGTTAGTAATCATGATTTTAAAATGTCGTATGTTTTGTTTGTTGTTTTTTTTTAAAGAAAAATAATTTTTGAAAATCGACTCTTGGAGCCGATACGTTAAAAATAAAGTTCATGCACGGAGAATGAATGCGTGCAACACTAGTGGAGACAGCCCTGATGAAGGCCTGAACTTCAGGTCGAAACGTCGGCAAATTTCAAAATAAATATTATCATTTATTTTTGCCTTCTTATTTGACTGATCACCCCAACTATTCTTCTCTTCATTATTCACGACAGTTAACCATTTTAAACACAGTTAAAAATAATAATGTTTAAATATTGTAAAAATGTTTTAAAATTGTAATAAAGGACTGTGAGATTAAAAATGTTTACAAAAAATATGAATAACCAAAAGAAGGTTGTTTGTCATAAGAATAATTTTATTCTGAGACGAAATTCCGGTAATTGCAACACAGAGACTTTATAAACTTTTAACTAATTTAAAGTTTGCAAAAGTTTAGATGTTGACATTTTATATCTGTTTTAGATAACCCAAATTTACAAGTACATCACGTAGCTAAGATCATTCAACACAAAGGTTATGATGACAACAGCGACGGATCCCCGGATGATATATCTGTGCTTGTACTTGCTACCCCCATCCGTTTCAACCAAAATGTCGGTCCAGTGTGTATGCCTAGCAGCAGTTATAATTTGTTAGGAAAGTTCATCAAAGTTACAGGTATGCTCGTCGTATAATGGATTTGACCAATTACCAATAACTATCCCCTTTCAAAATACTCCTGATCTTCCATTTAGGGTGGGGCCTCACCAAAGGCACAGGTGACCAGAACGCTCTTCGAGAAGTTGACGTCGAAGTTATTTCTAACAGCGTATGCAGACGTAGCTGGCCCCTACTCAACTCTCGCCCAACTCAGATCTGCGCCTACACGCCCAAGAAGGACTCTTGCAATGTAAGTATCTTACAGCATTCTATTACATAGATTTGATTATTTTTCAGCCTTCTACTCATTTATTTACGATTAAAATTTTCAATGGAACAATTCCGAACTTAAGGAGAAAGTACCCTAGTAGAAAGTAAGTGGATTGAATTTCGATTTTATACGAATCTGCAAGAAAATATATGATGATGACCTATCTCCGTGCATTCCCATTAAACTGATTTAACTATACCTGTTGTGTTGTATTTAAGGCTGAATATCGTCAACGCCAAATAGGCAAAGAAGCGGAAGGAAGCATTTTATTATAAGGAGTGGAAGATCTATAAGATTATAACACATCCATAAGCATGCCATTTTTTCGTTCTAGTCTTTTTGTTTCCACTAGCAAAGACTATTGTGGGAGCCGGGGTAGCCGTGTGGGCTAAGGAGCTTGCAATGTGTAATCAAAGTTAAGCAACGTCGAGCGTGGTTACTACTTGACCGTCCACCAGGGAAAGCCACGCTGCCCGAGATACCTCCTCTCCAGGTATGTGAGACCCGTTAGTCTACTGGAGGCAACTCACATCGACCGGGCGTAGTGACCTTACTGATGTCCCAGTGTACTTAAATCGGGAATCGGGATGTGCTTTACCAGGATGCCAGTAGCCCTCCTGAGGTTTGGTTTAGATGGTCTGTTTTGGGGAAAGAAACATAGGTTCTCGTGTGGCTGATTCTGAGCAGCCATAATCCATGGATATTGGCCGATTTGTCACCGTCTTTGAAACGGCGGGAAGAACACTTTCAGATTGGTCCCAAAGGCTATGGAGCCAAGGGTGGCCTGCCGCTGCACCATGGATATTATGGTTCGGAGCAACGTGAGGTTGGGTGACCCCCTTCAGACTATCTGTGCTCCCACAAACAATATGCGTTTGTTAGTTGATCCCATCTCGCTGCCTGTATATAAGTGTGAGAACATCTCCAATTTTCCAGTTGTCTTCTCTGGCCATGGATGGTTCATTTTTTGAGTAATTCTCTTTTGTCGAATTTATAATGTTTTTTTTTTTCTGACGGCTGTGTATCTATAACTGATTCAATGTTCTCGATCAGTTTTGGATAAACAGATCCTTTCTTCCCTATTGCGTCCGTAAAATTTGTAAAGATCTCCAGCCTAATAACCTCAAAGGTTTGCAGTCTTTCTTTGGGAAATTTTCTTTTTTGCCGACTATACAATTGCTATTGTTTTCTTTAACAATTGATATATGAGTTTTTACCTTTTTTGTTATTTTGTACAATTCTAATTATTGCTTAATTCTTCATGTATAAAAGAAATTCCACGATTTTAGATATTTGATCAAACCCTAAACGGAATTTGTGCCTGGGCAAACCACAATAGGATTACTCTAAACCCCGAGAAGACTAAAGCCATCCTGATCGGATCTCCCTCACTCCTCAAATCCTTACCGACACCCCCCAATCATTTCCTGAACAACTCACTTATTTCAATTCGTACTTTCGTAAAAAACCTTGGTGTTACCTTTGGTCAAACCCTCTCCTCGAAACCACACACTCCCGAATTTTCCGTCACACTATCTCCTTCCATACAAGTTCCGTCAACTCCTGGCATACTTTCCTGGTTACTTTGTGTTTCCCGGTTTGACTATGGCTGTCTGGTGTACGGCGGACTCTGGAAACAATTTGAAGCTCGACTTAAACGCCCAATGAATTGCGCAATACGTTTTATTTTCGGAGTCTCAAGGGTCGGAATCTCACGCATATCCAACCGCCGTCTGTACTTCCTTGCTACCTTTCTATACCAAGCCACCAGAACTCAGCGATCCTTCTATATTTTTCACAGCCTACAATTTAAATACTCCATTCGATCCCGTTCTAAAATATTCCGTACTTCCGACCTCTATCCTCTTCCTCACCGAACTGCTGCGTTTGACAAATCCTTTGTAATCCAAGCTGTATCCCTCTGGAGTTCTACCTCTCCTGATATTAAACATGTATCAGTTTCCTCTTTAAACACCTACTCCTTTTACAATCAGATTTTTCATGAAATGTAACTAAGTATCCCCTAACAACTATTTCGGTTTATTTATGTTATTCTAGTTTACTATGATATATATATATATGTTAGCGCCGCATACTCTCATATCATTATTTTTTTTAGTGTTATTTTTTCGCACCATTTACATCTTTTTAAGTGTTAACAACAAAATGTTTATTTTTTTGTGATAAAAACTGAGGGTTTTTGTCCCTAAAATGTATTTAAGTTTATATTATTTGTATATTTGGCTTCGTTTGCGATGTGTTATCGCGTTTGTGTATACGCTCCAGCCCGGCAATAATACCCTGTCTTAGGGATTAACACACCAAAACACTGCGATAATACTGCCAGGTCTTCAGTCTGGAGCTAGCATTTGATGACGGATCCACGTAGTGGACGGCTACCCCCACCTTCTTCTCCAGGTTCACCTCGACTCACCAGCCTAGCGCCATTTTTTTGACATTTGAACATTTAATCAGTTTTCGGTTCTCTCAATAAATTAGTTTTGTTATTTTGGACAGTTAATTTTCTTTCTCTTGATTTTGTTTATAATTTTAGAAGTTGGGTTTATTTATTTGTTATGTTTATTATGTTTATTTATTATGTTTTCCCTAATGTTAATTTGTTTTTATTTTCTCTGCATATTATTTTTATGTTTTATTTTTCTGAAAACTTTACACCAATATTTATCTTAACTTTTGAACATAATTAGATCTTTTTTTATTTAATAAATTGTAAACGTTCAAAAGGGGATTTTTATTTTCCATTTTTTACATATTGAAATATTTCTATTTTTTAATATTTTCTTGTACATGCACATTTTTTATGTTTTACAGGTCTCATTCATATTCTTCTTATTTTTTCCTTCTTTTCCAACACATTTAATTTTTCTCGAATTTTCTCACCTTTGAGGAACCTCACCGGGGAAGAGTTTGTGTTTTAATTTTGAAATATCCCCGGCCCCAACAATATATATATATATATATATATATGTATCTTTTTTTTTTGTTTTTTATTCTCTCTCTCTTTTTCTTTTTGTCAGTATTTCTATTTTTAATCAATTATTATATTGTAAATACTTAATTTATGTATGACCGCACTTGGCATTTACCTTTTACTTCTATTTGTTCTAAACAGACAACAGTCCCAGAATAATAAAAAAGTATTTTCATTTCATTTATTTAGTCGTTGTATTATATTTCTTGTTGCTTCATCAGGGAGACTCAGGCGGTGCTCTGGTCTACCTGGACCCTAACACCAACAGGTACACCCAGGTGGCTTTGGTCTCCTATGGACATCCACAATGTGGAATAGTCGCCAAGCCATCGGTCAACACTGATGTGTTCGCATACATCGGTTGGATCAAGCAGGCTATTGCCCGTAAGTTTTCAGATCATTCACTTTAAGCACTAAGGAATTAGGTTTCAAATGATGTTAATATTACAAAAAAATGTTTCATTTTTTATTTTAGAAACCTACCCAAGAGAAAAAATCTGCACTAAAGCCTGAGCTGAAGCTATCCAGAATTGGAACCTTTAGGATTTTTATATGAAAATAAAGTATTTTTTCGTTCTCTTTGCTTAACCCAAATCTTGTTTATTGTCCTTTCACCCTTATACATTTTCATATTATATGCATATATATATATATATATATTGAATATAATAAAAAAACTCGCGTGTGTATATGTTCGTAATCGTTTTTATAGAAACGACTCCTCTTCCAATCATTAACAAGTAAACTTTTTTTATTTATTTTTATGGAAAATTAAAATATTTAGCAACACAGAACCTTTATAATTTATATAAATAAATATGAACCACTTAAGATGAATCCTATGCAAATTATATAATTATATCAACAAACTAGTACCTATTATTCACTATAAGCTTAGATAACTTGAAGGATTAAATAATTATAAACTTGATAAAAAGATCATCTGAAAGCTCGTTGGTCTTTTTTATAAATATGAATCTTCAAAAACGAAAAGGCGACCTTTGAAATTGGATCATAAAAAAGACTGAGGTAAAAATTATGAATGATGTATGGTATAGATTTCGATTCGTTTGGTACCAGAGTTATAATATATCAAATATGGCTGAAAATTGCGTTATATAACGATAAGCCAGCATCCTCCAATATAAAATTACGATATTGAATTTAATATATTTTTATCATTACAAATACTATGATATATCTATAAGTTTTCGCGCTAGTGAATGGTAGTATCACATTAACCACGATATGAACCTTTCAGTTGACAGAATGACTAACTCCAATATCAATATTTTTAAGTAAAGTCATTTCATTGATATTTACACCAATCTAGTTGGAAAATATATATCATCTCTACAGACGGTAAGCTGATTCCAGAGTAGGTGATCGCATTGTTGAATTATGGAACTGTGAATAAAGGTATACATTCCCACTAGAAATATCACATTTTGTTTTTTTAGAACTTGTTTATTAATATTACAATCTGTATTATTTATAATATTGAGTGTTCAATGAGCACACTCTATGTACAATAAATATAAATAAATTAAACAGCAAAATAATATAACTAAAACTAAATATATATTAACAAAAAACAAAAAACCAAACAACTAAACTAATAAAAATAACAACTTAAATACAAACTTACTTTTACACAGTATTTACAAAATTCATTCATTCAGGAAATCTCTGAGTCATGCATTTTTACCCATCCTGGAAGGAAAGGCAACACTCAAGGTAATCCCAGCGCTACTCACTCACCCACATTACAGATATTAAGGTGGTGGGATAAAATAAAACTTAAGCTTCGCAATAATTTATTGCAGTCATTTTTGCTTAAAACGCGTGTTAGTTTAGATTAAGTGCTTAAAAGATCTCTTAGATTTTGAAGTAAATTTTGTCTAATTTAGTGTGGAGCAATTGTCAATTACTAAGTTAAGTATTTTTTTTGTATATCGCATTCTATCCAAAAAAAAAAAAATTGACACTAAAAATTTTTTTGTTCAAATTTCCTACGAAAAATAGGACCATTGTTTATGTAATTTTTTTTTTATCTTGAGGTCTGTTATCAACCTTTTAAACATTTCTCTCTTTTTACGGGACATCTTAGAGTTTCTTATTAATGAGTCCGTTTCATTTTTTTTTGGTCACCGGCATACAGACATACAAAGCCTTGAAATTTGCATTCTAATCAAAGGGCTTATCAAAAAGTGTATTACAAATCAAATAGATTATTTAATAAATTCTATACCTTAATACTTCCGTCTAACTAAATTTGAATAGTTCGAAATACTTTCAGTATTGAAAAAACGATTCTATGTTTACTCATATTTATGAATAATGATGTGGCTATAATGAGCAATTAGGATGTCTGCAACACTAGACAAGCCGATAAATAGGTTTCCACAATTTACATTTGAAGAACTGACAATTAGTTATGTTTGCTATTTAATTAAATTAATCAACCGATTACACAGGGATTGACTATTTAAACATCGATTGCGGGATCGGTCAGTCAGTCATCAGTCATCAGTAGCCCGGAGTTGTAACCGTAACGCTTCCGGTGAGTATTCTATAATCAATAAGTCATTTAGAACTAGTCTAATCTGTGAATGGTTGTTGTTTTGGGAATAATTTTTAAAAAAATATGAAGATGTATATTTTTTTGGGAGGAGGGATTGGAAATTTCGTGGTTGGTCTTTCACAAACATCCTCTTATATTTTTTAATAGAAAATGTGTGATTATCAAGGTGGACTTCGGTCCACCATAGTTCACCATTCATCAAATCATTATCCTCAGGCAGATCAGTGGGAAGATGAAACAGTGCTTGCAGACTACATGAATGATGTTATTGACTTTAAATCAGTTTATGACATAATTGTCAAGAATAATCTCGTATTGCACATGCTTAAACTGATTTCATCAGGTAAACGAATTTGATAAGGAAAATGGCGAGTACTATCTGCCAAGTCAGGTTTTACAATCTAGCACGGCGTTTGGTGTGGATTAGGTCAAGGAGGTGTTGGGGTAGAATGGTCTTCTGGAGGAGTCTTTTGGAAAGGAGGCAGTCCAGGCGGCTTGTTGGATTGTGGTAGTAAAGGAATTTACGGCACTATCAAGGTCATTGGGAGTTTTGAGGGATATGTTGAGATCAGTTTTATCGGAGATGATTTGGCGGAAAACGTCCCAGTTTACTGGGCCCCTAATGAATGACGGTGGAGAAGGTTTGGGAACAGGTTCAAGTGAAACATTAAGGATTAGAGGACTATGGTCAGAGTAAAGTTCATTTAGACGTGTAATGGAACAATTGAGGGGACTTAAGCCGCTGTGGTTAAAGAAATCAAGAAGATCATGATTACGGTTGGGATCTGTGGGCCAGTAGGTAGGAGAGTTGGGGGAAAGGAGGTGAAAACGTTGGGAATTGAGTGCAGACAGCAGGGTTCGGCCACGAGAATTCGTGGTTCTGGAACCCCATTGTTGGTGCTTGGCATTTAGGTCTGCACCCAAGATGAAGTGATGTCCTAAGGAGTCGAAGAGAGAACTGAATTGGGCATTGGATATGGATCGGTTAGGAGGGCAATACGCTGATGCAAGAGTAACCAGAAAGGAGAAGGTTTTTATCACGATAGTGGTGGACTGTAGGAAATCATGTATAGGTAATGGGAGTACGTGATAGGAGAGGGATTGGTGCACAATTACAGCAGTACCGGCATGTGCTTTTCCGTCAGGGTGGTCAGTACGATATGTCAGGTATTGTGGTATATTGAAGTGCTGTTTAGTGGTTAGTCGAGTGGTTAGTCAGTAATTAGTGCCACATCAATGTTCTTGTCAAGTAGTAAAGTAGATAGTCCGTCTGTATGATTTCTAACACCATTCGCATTCCAAAGGAGAATGGATATGGGTTTAGAGATGTGAGTCATTTAAGAATTTTTTAAAGGGGGGATGAGGAGAGATACGAGATTCGTGAGGAGTGATATGAGTGGAGTAACAAGGGATTTGAAATCGGTGAGGAAAGGTGCCAACAAACTTGTGAGATCTGTTGCATTTGAAGGAGGAGGAATATGAGGAATTTGTTGTTGATGGTTAGTTATAGTAGGATGAAGAGGATTTTGCGGTTGGGGTTGAGGTTGTTGTTGTGGCAGGACTTGACATTTATCGGTTGAAGTCTTACCTTTAAGTAGTTGGGAGAATGATACATTGTTTACAATGCTGGAAGGCTCTCTCTCTCTTCTTGTTCTTAGTACTTCATCTTGAATCCGGTTTTTCTGGTGTCTGGTATTGAGATTCTTGTAAATTTGGCAGCCTTTGTAGTTGGCCGGGTATTCCTCCAAGCATAGGGCACATACTGCTGGATCTTGTACAGGTTTGGTGCACTCTACAGATTTGTGCTGTTCACCGCACTTCACGCAAAGCGTCAGATGGTGGCAATATGTCTTCGTGTGGCCGTAGGTCTGACAATTATGGCACTGCACGATAACTGTCTTGGGGCATGGCTTCTCAACTTTCAGCATTGTGTAGCATATTCTTGTGATATCATATATTTTTTCGATACCTGGTAATGGCTCCAAGTCCACGAAAAACAATAGTAGTGGGATCCTGTTTGGTAATCCTGGCTGCTCCCTGTCCTTCAAAACGTTGGTTACCTGGCGTACATTGAAACCAAGCGTCGAAAGTTCTTCTTTAATCACTTCAGTTGGGGTTGAGGAGTGTAAATTTCTTATCACTACTCGTAACGCTCTTTATTGCCTCAGCTGGTTAAGTGTGAAAATTTGCATTTGTTTCTGATAAGTACTTCACTATTTTTCGGTAGGCTTCAGCAGAATCAGGTGTTATTTTGGTGTCATTGGTCCTGTAAAGGCGTGAATAACTGCCAGAGCAGAATTTATTTAGTTGGGTTATTATCTTTAAATTTTTGGTATTTTTCACAAATATCGGAGGAGGCTTTGGTTCTCTGGGTATAACTGCAGACTCAATTACTTCTCGGTCATTTTGAAGCACTTGGTAGGGATTTGGATTAAAGAAAGGCGATTCTTCGATCATTTCTTGCGAAGACGTACCTGGTTGGGGCTGAGGTTCTGGTTCTGAAGTGTTCACTTTGGTAACTGGAGTTATTTCTCGTAGGCAGCGACGAGTCCTTTGTTTGGCTGGTGAACCACATGGTGTACTAACGCCGTCTGATCGAGTCCTCTTGGGCACCTTACTGGCCATCACTTACTGATCATAGCTCATATCATATGTCAACAGTAAATACCAACTGCTCTGATGTACACTTTAACTGTATTACGTGAATAATCAGAGAGATTCCGCTATAAAATAGGCAAACACTGAGAGAGGAGTTGAGGAGACAACCTTCGCATCAGCTCAGAGTAATTATTAAATGCAAATTCCATGTGTTTTTTGATATGAGAGATAGTTAAATAATATATTTTAAATTTAAACCCGTATAAAATTATTATATTGATTCATTTTCATATTTGTCAGAAATAAATTAATCCAAATTAGTCTTTATATGATATCCTGTATGACGACCAGTTTTCTGGTATTCCATGGATAACCGAATCCAATAAGGAGAGTATGTTTCATGGCAACTACAAGTCCGTACCAGACGAGTATACCGCGATGTGACTCAAAACCTTCGCTATCCTGGATAAATAATAGATGAAGAAGAAAAACAAAAGTATGAAGTTCTAATTAGTTTCTGAGTGTTTCATCATATGCCCGAAACCCTGATCAGGATATCTTAAATTAACCTTTGGTTTTACTGTTAGGCAATTTTATTAATATTTCATTTTAATATAAGTAAATACTTTAATATTTAATATTAATACACAGAAATGAAAGTATTGGTGTGCCTGCTGTTTGTCTGCCTGTCGTGGGTAAATAGCGCTAATCTCAGCTGCAACTGCGGATGGAGGAACACAGTAAGAAATTTTATTTACTACTTTTATTATGCTTTCACCAGAATATAAACTCTAACTAGACAAATTTCTCCTTCAGGGTAGGATCGTCGGCGGACAGGAGACCCGTAAGAACGAGTATCCTTGGATGGTGGCTCTGAGCAACGGATGTGGAGGATCCATCGTTACTCCATATCACGTCCTCACAGCTGCACATTGCACTGCAGAAGAAAGACCTTCGAGTATCATAGTTTCCGTCGGAAGACACTACAAATACGGCAGTAAGTAAAATGGTGTGACAAAAAAAAAGTGTTATGAAAAAATTCCTAATTCCATCACCAGGATCGGTAAATTCAAGTAAAAAGAATAATTTTATTTTCTGACAAAATTCCTCTAAGAATACGCAACTTGATTTATTGCCTGGACTTTACGTAAAGTGTTAAGGTTTAAAAGCATACTTTAAATGTTTGAAATTGGGTTGAGCTTGAGGAGGGGTGGGGGGAGGTTCATACGCCATTGACTTTGGAAGGAATGAGCACCCGAGTGTAGATCTGTAGATTTTGGTCGCGTTCCTCCTGTATTGCTGCCAATCTTGGCTTCCAATTTGCTGCATGCTGCTCAGCGGCATCTTTGTTTATTTTACCTAACCTTCGAGAGAGTTCTATAAATACATACATTTATAGCAACTTGAGACTTGATGTAAAATAGGAGATTTATTTATTTAATAATATTAATGATAAAAAAATTATATATATATATATATATATATATATATATATATATATATATATATATATATATATACATAACAGTTTCTCATGTATCTTTTATTTAGCTTTTTTTTAGACAACTTTATTTGAAATCTACATAGAGACTTAGATGTCGACTTTTATACATTTTTTCAGGTAACCCAAATTTACAAGAACATCGTGTAGCTAAGTTCATTCAACACAGAGGCTACAATCACGCAAGTGACGCATCCCTCAATGACATATCTATCCTTGTACTTGCTACTCCCATCCGTTTCAACCAATATGTCGGCCCAGTGTGTATGCCCAGCAGCAGTTATAATTTGTTAGGAAAGTTCATCAAAGTTACAGGTATGCTCGTCGTGCAATGCATTTGCATAAATAATAATAACTATCCCCGTTCAAACTACTCCTGATCTTCCATTTAGGTTGGGGCCTCACCAAAGGCACAGGTGACCAGAACGCTCTTCGGGAAGTTGACGTCGAAGTCATTTCTAACAGTGTATGCAGACGTAGCTGGCCCCTAGTAAACTCTCGCCCAACTCAGATCTGTGCTTACACTCCCAAAAAGGACTCTTGCAACGTAAGTATCTTACAGCATTCTATTACATAGATTTGATTTTTTAATGTGACCACTTTATTAGATATCATTTGTTTAACAGCGAAGTATCGATTCGATAGGGTTCAATCGAATCTCTATAATAACCAAACACATCTGCAACTTATTAAAGACAACTTTTATAAAATTTGATAGGATCAATATACTATACAAACTTTAAATAAAAATAAATCTACACAAACCTTTTTTTCAAAGTAGGCTAAAATGCATTAGTGATAATAATATAATAAAAGGCTTTGCGAACCCGAATGTTCGATGCCGACACCACCAATCGCTTATTACACACCTCCCTCAACCATTCGCGGTCAGAACTTAGTCCCTTCAGAACGGCTTTAACGCAATCTTTCCACCTTCACTTCGGTCGTTTACCGTTCGGTACAGCAAATATTAACCTTTTAGAAATCCTTTGGTTACTAAGCCCAACAATTTGACAAGCGCATTTGATTCGCCGCGATCTAATCCCCTCAATTATATTAACCTTATACAGTTCACGCAGTTTGGCGTTGTCTAACCGTCTGGAGAAAAAAAAACATGAGTGATAAAGAAAAAAAAGACCTATTTATTCGCACGAAGTAATACTAAATTAGGAGCTTAATCTAAGATCCTTATTTATTAATTAAATTATAATAATATTTTTAATAATAATTAATTTAATTATTTATTAATAAAAAATAAATTTTTTAAATTAATAAATAATCTCCACTACCGAGTTTTAATATTTATTCCATATAAACAAAGTTGGAAGCAGGGTGGCTCAGTGAAAAACGCAGTGTGCTTTTATACTCCGGATTCTGGATTCGAGTCCGGTTATGACAGACAAATATTTATTCTATTATAGCAGCCGTGGATCAATTCTGTGATCGGGAGCCCCTTCTGGGTAACACCCAACCTCTACAAAGTGAGAACTTTTAATTAAATGATTAATTGAAACGAAAAACCTACTATTTAAATCATCTCATTGCATAATATTTGGCGAATTTATAGTACTTCTTTACAAAGTTCCAGGCCGAAGACAATAAAGACTCTTACACACAAAACGCGATATCTGCCGACGATACGATACCCTTTGTTGGGATAATCGCGCTATGTTTCTATGTGTTACACGTGATATGTTCGTGCTATAAGCAATTGATAGTAATACAACTACATCAACATATCAGCGCCGAAAGAAATATAGTTTTGTTGGAACATCATGCATTCTGTGTGTAGGACCCTCATGCTGTTAAATTTGTTTTTTTTACTTTCATACGATGGTAATCAATTAGTTTATCGGCTCATGGGAGGCTTTTCAACAATTTGTAAGCACTGAAGATATGAGGTTGGTGTCGAAAACAGAAAGCTTCACATGACGTAAAATGTGATGAGAGTCTCATAATGAGACTGTCTTCTGGTATCAAACCTGGTAATGATAAAAGAACTTTAAACCAACCTTTGTACATCGTATCTATAATATCTATAGTACCTAAAATATCTATTTTTGTTGGGTTGTTTTCGTTTACCAAGAGTTATTATGTGTTCTTGTTAACGGTGTTTGACTGCATAGGAGTTACCAAAATTCAACGAGAATCGTCAAAAGAATTTGTTATTAAGGAAGGCGTTAAACAAGGAGATCCTCTTTCCCCAGTTTTATTCAATATGGTGTTGGAAGTGGTCATGAGGTCGATCTGGACAAGAAGACCTGGAGGAGGTATCTACCACAGGCTGATACAACATCTAGTGTTTGCAGATGATATTGTGATTATCGGATCTGTTAGCAGTGCATTTAAGAAGAACAGTGCATTATTTGAGCAATCCAGGAGTGCAAAGTAGCTGCTATTAGAACAGAAGTGGTAATTAATACGAAAAAAACTAAATATATTAGAATCAGCAAGGAATTACGACGGAACAGGCATATCAAGAGGGCAGGGATATCGTTTCAAGAGAGTATCGCAGTTTAAGTATTGCGGAATGTTATCACTGAAGATAATGAGATTAGAGAAGAAATTAAGGAAATAATAGCTGCTGTCATTCGATGCTACTGGTTTTTAACGAAAATATTTCGGAACCGGCATATATCTAGAGCACTCAAAATAATAGTGTATTGTACTGTTCTTCAGCCAGTGGTCATGTATGGAAGCGAATCTTGCACGCTCACATGCAACGATAAAGGCTGTTAAACACGTGGGAAAGAAAATTCCTCAGAAAGATCTTAGGCCCTAAAAAACAAGGAGATCGAGGGCGGTTGAAGACAAACAAGGAATTCAGAAATTTATATGAAACGCCAGATATACAGACAGGATAAGATGGCTGGGGCACGAACAAAGAATGGAAAGTGTTAGACTACTAAAACTGGTGATGGAGGTGGAAGAAGGGTCAGAGGGAGGCCTAGACTTCTCTGGCTGCAGGATGTAAAGGAGGAGTTACGGACGTTGGATGTCGGCAGATGGAGAAGAGCAGCCGAAGACACGTCAGAATGGAGGTGGATCATTGAGGAGGCCAAGGTTCTGCAAGGACCATATCGCCGTTCGGTAGGATATGGTAGATAGCGGTGTTTTGGGAACGTGTAGGCCGATTGAAAAATTGATGACGTTTATTATTGATATTTTATGTTATTATTTCAATTATTCATTTTTCTTTCCTGTATAAAATAAGTTTGATATATGTCCATATTATGTAGGCTGAAAACAAGTTAATTAATGTAAAGTGGTATTATATTTCTTGTTGCTTCATCAGGGAGACTCAGGCGGTGCTCTGGTCTACCTGGACCCTGACACCAACAGGTACACCCAGGTGGCTTTGGTCTCCTATGGACATCCACAATGTGGAATAGTCGCCAAGCCATCGGTCAACACTGATGTGTTCGCATACATCGATTGGGTCAAGCAGGCTATTGCCCGTAAGTTTGCACACTCTTTACCATAAATTATAAATAATTAAGTTTCTTATCATGTTAATATTAATAAGAAATATTTCATTTTTTATTTTAGAAACCTACCCAAAAGAACAGATCTGCACAAAAGTCTGAGCTGGAGGAAACCAGAATTGAAACCTTTTGAAAACTTTTTATTACAATAAAGTATGTTTCTATTTAAAGATTTTTTTTTTTTAAATCGCTTAACCAAAATCCAATATAAATTGTTAATAATAGTTTCTATGACTGCTTTATAAACACGCAAAAACCGAACTAAATTCGATGTGGCATGCATTTTACTCAATTTTCATATACTACCTGAGGGGTGCCCAACTCCCCCAAGGTCGATAGCGCAAGGGCCTAGTCCTCCCTCACTCCTCCTCCCTCAGCCCTCCTCCCTCAGCCCTCCTCCCTCAGCCCTCCTCCCTCACTCCTCCTCCCTCACTCCTCCTCCCTCAGCCCTCCTCCCGAGATATTCTATTGCTCACCTTTATTAAAAACAGAGCAAGCTGAGGTAGAATTAAAAAAATCGAAGATCATATATAAATACACTTGCTGCTGTCAGTTCCATGTTTTTTTTTTTGGTCTCCCCTTCCTCGCCTTTAAGGCTATACGGGTTTTTTACCTCGGGCCAGAGAGTGTGGGCGGGGATTTAAAAGACTCTCCCTGCACCGGGATGCGAACTCGTGAATATTTTTCATCATTGTCTCATATATCAGGTTGCCGGGCAACGCCGGTGTTGTGCACATTCGTTAGCCAATTCGCCCACTGTCAGTTCCATGTGTTCCTCTTGTTCATTAGTCCGAATTCATAACCCTTTCGAAATTTGTCCCCCTCGAAAATTCAAAAACCCGTTCAATGCACCCCCATCAAAAATTTTGATGGCGCAACTTGCGGGTTCTGGGCACCCCCGCACTTCCTATATGGAAGACTTGATGAACTGGGGAGAAGGGAGGTAAGAGTGCCGGGAATCGAAACTTGGCGAGTTTGATTCCCACCTTGTTCAGTTAAAATATATTTCTTGACGGTCCCGAGAAATGAATCTTGACTCTCTTACTCTATACTACGCAAATAAAACACCACAATGCCCATTATTCGGACTAGTTTCTGCAAGTTGCAAACACCCGTAATATCCTTCTTAAATTAGCCTAAATAGAGCTAGTTATGATTTGATTATCTAAGTATGTTTTTGGTTATTAAAATAAAAGAAAAATATTATTGACAGAAGTTTGTACTTCTTGTGACATTTGTTTGCCAATATTCAATGTTATACAATAATAATTTTGTATCACCACATTACATTATTATTATAGTAAGGCTCGAAATCGATTTTGTACCAAAAATAAGCTGCTTTCATACTCAAGTACTGGAAATAGGGTTCCGTAGGACTCACGAGGGTAGGCAGGATTAGCAAATCGTACTCTCAGCCTTTGTTTTTCTTTTTAAAATAAATAAAGTCGATATAAACATTTTTCTAGGCTTCATTGAGCTTTGAAGATTTTGATGCGGACACCAAGACCCGAATAGTTAGTCCCTGGTTGTATAACTATTAGGCGTTGTATAACTATCAGACATCGAACAGATGTCTCATTTCGACTTGAGGTCAGTATGATCGAGAGAGGAGGAGTTTTCAAAGGTTTTGTTATCATATTATTTATCAAAGGTGTTTTTATCTATTATTTATCAAAGATATTTTTTTGGTTCGTAAGCCCATGTTAATGTTTATTCTTCATCAAATCTCAAGATTGAGCTACCTAGTTTGAAGGTATCCTTCTCCTTCAGGCGGGAAAATACTCTGGAAATTCATGCAAAAAGGTTATGAAAGAAAAGAAACTTTATTAGCTTATAGCTATAAAATTACAAATTTTCTCCTGTAATATCCACGATTATCTAACAGATTACTGAAATCTCCACAAAAGGAAAAAAAAAAAAATCACCGAAATGGACAATTATTAGCAACGATATAGCAGTTTTGAAACATGTTGGCCCAAAGCATTAATGGAGTTTCAATCTAAAACGCCGTGTTAGAAAAGCGAAAAGGGAAAAAAATAGGATCGAAAACCAAATGATAACGAATTTTATTGAAGACACGGATTAAAATATCTCAATAAATGTATATAATCAAAATAAAATATAATAAAAAAATAAAAATCTCAGGTAAGGAGGAAATGTGAGCTGGAGCGGAATCCTGCTGGAAAACCCAATGACTTCCAGCAAACAGAGTATCATTTAGAGGTTAACAAGAGGTTCCAAAATATCGTCCTCATAGTTTTTAGCGGCTAGTTTAACTCCTTTTTCACAAAAATGGAGCTTTGTGGTGCCATCAAAGCAAACTCCCCACCAAACCATCACTGGGGAAGGGTGATGACCTCTTTCCACTCTTCCAATGACTTCCTCTGCTTCAATAGAGCTCTGTGCGTGCACACGGTCATTTTATCGATTATATTTTTCTTCAATTGTAAAAATTTTACAATAAATGTATAAAGGCGCCGCTCCCTCTGGATAATCTTACTGTTTGCGAGGAACAGTAGAGCCATGAATTGTAGCTATCTCACTTACTACTGTACATTGGCAACGTACTAGGCATCCCACCGACCGCAGCTCCTATAATAATTACTGTAAAATATTAAAACTGGAATTAGCCACCTTCAGATCACAATCCTATAAATCCTACCTATCATCCCTTTCTGCTCGCGACAATTCCCTTTGGAAAAATCACAACAAAAATCCTAAACCCTAACCAAATTTCCCATCTCCTCCGACGAGATGACGGCTCCTGGGCAGCATCTGATGAAGATAAAGCTGAGGAGTTCGCCAGACACTTATCCAATACATTTATTTCACATCCGGAATTCCAACCAGCCCATACCGTAACAGTAAAAGAATCCCTTACCTATCCCACTTTCCTTGTCCCCTAAAGCAATTCATCCTTCCGAAGTGAAATTTAAATTACAAAAACTAATCCCCCGTAAATCTCACAGATATAATATTCTCACCGCTCAATCCTTCGACAACTTCCAATTGAAGCAATCATATTCTTTACATATAGCTACAATTGCATCCTACGTACTACCGCAAATAAAGTTTCTTTTCCTTCATAACCTCTTGGCTTGATTTTCCGGGGTATAGCACTATTTTCCCACCTGAAGGCGAAGGAAACTTTAAAACTAGGTAGCTCAATCTTGAGTTTTGATGAAGAATTAACGAAGCTATGGCCTGCGAAAAAAAAATATCTTTGATAAATAATTTATAAAAACACCTTTGATAAATAATATGATAACAAATTCTTTGATAAACTCCTCCTTTCTCGATCATACGGACCTCAAGTCAAAATGAGACATCAATTCTACAATTAACGTGAGGTTGTGTGGATGCGAACCCTTACATTATCTCGAAAATAGTACGTTTTTAAGCTTGAAAACTCAGGGCCTAATAGTTATACAACCGGGAACTATTTGGGTCTTGGTGTCCGCATCGAAATCTTCAACGCCCAATGAAGCCTAGAAAAATGTTTATATCGACTTTATTTATAGTTCGTGGTACAGGCCACTTTTTATAGAATTATTAACATTCGGCTGAAACTTCGTAAATAGCTTTTTCTCATCGTAACCTACAAATATTTTATTTATGAAAATTCTTGGAATTGGGGCATTTTCAATCTAGAGGTCGGCAAACTATGTTTATTTAATTAGGTACTAAAATCTCGTAAATACCCATTTGCTTTCTACTTGGATCCTAAGATAACTTGAGCCACTAGCCGATCCAATTTAATTTAGGGGGGAGGGAAAGGGCTTCAGCCCGAAATTCTTTTCTTTCATAAAAACAATGATAATTACTTCGGGAAAAAAGAAAGAAACTAACTACTTATATGACATGGTGTTTAAATGTTTCCTAAAATCCTATTAAATGTAATTGCAGGAACAATAATACTTTCAGAGATTTTTAAATATTTTTTTCCATAAACATTGTTATATTTTACCATTTTGGGGGGGAGGGGAAAGGTCATCAGACTTGAGCACAAAGTAAAAAAAAAAGGTGGCCTTCATGAATATTGAGCCGTTTGGCGTGACCTACACCCTCAAATTGTTAAAATACGAGGTTGTATTTTTTTCTTACCATATTCTTTCAAACTTTAAATTAGACTAAAAAATTAGCCTTTTTTAATAGTTACTGTAAATAAAACAGAGTTAATTTTTTTAAATAAATCATATTAAATGTACCTTAAGAGAAAGAGGTACATGAACAATAGGCATTTAAGCCTTGCAAAGTGACATCAATGGGATTAAGACCTAAATATATGAAAGACTACTTAGTTATACAATGATACACCGAGTTTAATAAAAATCGATAGAGCCTTTTTTTTTTAAATTATTTTAATGAAATTTACAACTGTATTACATGGAAAATACAACAAGTAAATGTGACATTGGTAACATGACAAGTACAACATGAAGAGAAACTACCCATTGGTAGAACTCAAATTATAGTTCTATATTAGAAGATCCCGAGGCTATCTTCTTTTCAGACGCCTCGGAGGGTTATCAGGGATCGAGGAGGAAGCAAGGTTTGAAACGACAGGGTTCGGATGGTTTTCAGTTTGTTATGGATGGATAGGTATCTGGATAGGGCCAAATCGGAAACATATGGGTCTTTATGGATGATTTTATTTGTGACAAAGTAAGGAGCGTTGAGGATTTTACGAAGGATAGAGTCGTTTTTGAGAAAAATTTATTTCACCGTTGATATAAGTGGCAATTCCGGTTAGGTGATTTTGACGAAAAAGTTGCTGTAACATCTGAGGTATAAAAAAACCTTAAATATGCAAATTCATAGGCATAGAGTTTTCCGATTTTGAGTTAGACTGTTCACATACATACGCACACACAGACTATTTTGCATGACTTTTTGGACTCAGGAGATCTCAAAACATGTATTTTTCTTGAAAACTCAGATTCGAAAATTTTCACGATCGCGATTCCTAATTCTTTTTCGGAGAATTAGAGAATTAGGCGCTTTTTTCATCAATCTTTTCCTCAATCCCTGACATTTAAAACTTAATTTCTTAATCCTATTAAGTCTATTCTGAGACGTGTGTTGTATTTTTGTTTTTGTATATTTCTGTGGGTAATATTCTGTTAGTGACATTCCAGAATGAACGAATTAATGGTTTTTATGGAATACCAGTTTATATTGAATGAGTAATTAAGTTTGTGAAGCGTGTTAATATTGATTCTGAGTCATTAAATTTGTGAGGCGTGTAAATGTTTATAGTCTTTGTCTATTTTTCGTGTAGGAAATAATATAATAACCTCAAGGCTTTGAAACAGAAACGACCAAACAATATCCTCATTCTTTTATCGAGACTTTTATATTCAACGTTTTGGCCACAGGCGTGAAGGTGAGTATCCAGTAAGACACATCGGGGAAAATCTGGTAAAACCATTAAAAGTAAAATTTTTAAAATAAAAAAATGACTATTTTTTGTAATTAATAAGTGAGGATTGACAAGTCTAAAATGATTTATAGGAAAAATTGTCAAAAAACATAGAATATTAACCATTCAGTATCAAAGGGGGGAGGGCATTAAATGAAATTCATAATTTACAATTTTTTTTTTCCAATCAAAATTATTCATCATATATTTTCGTTATCATAAACCTATTTTTTATTGTCTGGGAGAGGGCGGGGTGGCCGAATGGGCTAAAGCGTGTGCACAGTACCGCGAGTTTGCCTGGCAACCGGATTATAGATTTGAGAAGATTTAAAAAGTACGAGTTCGCGTCCCGGGATTTTAAATTCCCCGCCTTCACCCTCCGCGGCCCGGAAAAATCGCGTATAGCCGAGGAGAGGTAGGGAAGAACAAAAAAAAAAAAAACCTATTGTATAATTTTTAAAGTATGATACAAATGGCGATCGATCAGTCAGAGCAAAGTTTATCTACTAGAATAATTTATATATTATAATTGTATATGTTATTACTTTGTGAATATACATATATTTCTTTTTTTTCTTTATTTATATAGGCATATAATATTCTGACTCGAAGACAATAATTATAGTGCTAAATGAACTCATTCACACCATATATACAAAAAATATAAAATTAACAAAAGTAAAATAATAATAAATAAAAACTATTTACAATAACCTAAATATAAGTATGAGAAGGAGTTAGTCGAGGGTGCGGATTATACAATTGAGAAATTATACAATTTCTCATATCATATCAACGGTCAACCATCTCTACATCATCTAAATATAAGTAAATTAAAAATATACAAACACAGTCATACCTACATACAATATGTAAAATCAGGCTGGGGACCCAAATCCCTGCGTTACTCTCTCAACCGCGTCACTGGTGCTAAAGCCAGTGGAGTACAAAATTAAAGGAGAAAAAAGTTGTCAATTTTTAATTTTTCAAATCAACTAGAAATAGAAATAATTTGAGCCTTCCTATAACTGTTATTTTATAATAGATTTAATACTTTTGTTAATCTATAAATATCTTTACCGTATATCGTATGGAAGTGAATAAATGTTTTAAAAAATGTCAAAAGTAAAAAAATTTACAAAGTATTGCTTGTTCATTTCACCAATGATGTCTTTATTTAAATAGAATTGCTAGCATGGATGAGTTTTTGATTTGTGGGTGAGTTTTTGGTCAGAATTGTTTACTTTCAATTAACTATATATGTAACATACAGTACGGAAGATTATTGCGATTATGAAAAATTTCAAATCTTAATTTTTACGGAAATGTACGGTTTGAGGTCCTCTAAGTCCAAATAATCAATTTCCAGAAAATGTTATGTGTCGGTGTATGTGAAATAAAATAGTATATATTTATATATATATACTATTTTATTTAGTATTAGTTAGTTAGTAACTATTTAGGTAGTTAGTTAGTGTTTGTGAAATAAAATAGTATATATTTGTATATATATATATATATATATATATATATAAGATAAAGACCGGAGACTGGCGATATCAGCCTTAATACCATCTTGTAGTGTAAATAAACATAGCAATTGTATATAAGGCAGATTATTGAACGAATAAAGCAGTGTTTATTCAGAAGCCGTGAGGATTGTTTCTCGTTCCTTTTTCCTTCTTTTTTTTTATTTGCAAAGCCCGGCGACGCTTAACTGGTGCCGAAACCCGGGAGAACATCAGGAGAACACGGAAGTAAAATTTTTCTCTTTCTTTCTTTCTTTTAATTTTTTTTTTCTCTTCTCCTAGTCATAAGGAAAAGACGAGATGCCGACAGAGGGCTTAATTCGACCAGGAGTGTTGAACGCACCTGAAATGCCGCAACCTCAGGAAATGCCGATAGCGCAGATTCCTCAGATCGCCCCTCAGATTCCGCAGATACCTCAGATACCTCAAGTACCGCAGATACAAGAGATCCCTCCCTTACCTAGGGACACATTGGCAGAGGCGCACGCCAATGCATTGGAGTGGATGAAGATAAGGGCAGCGACCACGCAGGATCTACGGAGAGCAATCGCAGACCTGGAGCGATTCGGGGGCGAGATAGGTGAACTTAATCACTTCTTGAAAGGTGGAGACCGCCTCATATCAAGAATCGAAGCAAAGGTGGCGGAGGACCTTGTGAACCTGGGAGACGCGGAGGCACTGAAGGCAGCTCTCGTGTGCCGAGTGAGGAGGAACATCCTCAACCAAATCCAAGCGGACGAGGAGACACCATGGCCAGTGATTAAGGAGCGTTTGAAGAAGGCTTTCGGAGGGGGCCGATGGACGCCGGAAGAAGATATCTTCCAAATGTTTAGGGAGTGTCGGTCCCAACGCCAAACAAGAGGACAGTATGCGGGGGTACTAGTGGCAAAGTACAACCGCATAACTGAGAAAATGCGTGAAACCATGAGTGTGGGAGAGGTCGAAGCTAGGATGGAATTCCTTTCGACAATACTCAAGGTTCAGTTGGCTAAGGAGACTGGGAGAAGGGACGGACTGCCTAGAGAGCGAACGTTCCTCGAGTGTGCCCAAGAAATGATAGATCTGAGTGCAAGAGAGGAAGAGACTCGGATGGAAGTAGAAGAACCAGGGTGGACCCGAGTGAGTGACAGACGACCCCGGACAGCCCAGATAGGGTGGAGGAAGAGGGAAATGAAACACCCGAACGGAGAAAAAGCCACGACGGGCGAGAGAAGATCCGGACAGTCCAGGCCTAGGAATGGACCCCGGAGGGAAGACAGAAAATGTCACGGGTGCGGGAAACCGGGACATTTGGTAGCACAATGTCCGCGCACTAGATGTTTCGAGTGCGGGACTGAAGGGCATATTGCCAGACAGTGCCCGTACATGTTTCGCAGGAGAGAGAGACCTCTAGACGAGCCAATGGAGGTGAACGCTCAAAAGTTGAAAAAACGAGCTAGGATGCAGCAGAGAGACGGATCTTCGGAAGAGGCAACCGAGGAGTCGGGGACGTCGGGAACGGAGACTGACGAGCCAGCCAGCAGTGGAGGCGAAGGAGGCAGGAGCAGCCAACGGAGCGAGCAACGACGAGCGACGGCGGTAAGGAGGAAGCGAGGTGGCATCTGAGAAGGGTGTCAGCAGAGAGGCGACCGCACAGCAACCTGCAACAATATTAGAGGTAAGCCATGCTGGTTGCCGATTATTGAAGTAGACGGGGGAGTGAAGTGTCTCGTGGACACAGGGAGCTCGAGTACTATCTTGACTCGGGGGGCGTTGGGGAGAGTGTGCGGGAGCGAGAGGGTACTCCGGATACAAAACTGTGGCTGCCAGCTAATCACTCTGGGTGGTCCCTGTAAAGTAGAAGGGGAAGCGTCAATTACGCTTGATCGGTGGGCAGGGAAAAAGGGGGAGCTAAAGGTGCATGTGGTAGAGAGCATGACGCGGGAGTACCAAGTCATAATAGGGTGTGATCTGTTAGGACAGGTAGGGGTAAGCATTAGAAACCGTAGAGGAGCTTGGAGTATCAGGCTGGGAAAGAGGAAATTTGGATGTATAGGGGTCGCGAGAGAAAGAAGGGTGCGGATAGGAGCGGTGAACAGGGTGGAGGACTGGAGAAAGGCGTTACAAGCGGAGTTCGTAGATATTTTCTTCAGGGAGGGCGAGGTATTGGGGGTAACAGGGAAGACGGTACACGAAGTTCCACTGAAGCAAGATAGGGTGACCTACGTAAAGGAAAGGAGATACCCGCAGGCGCTGAGGCAGCATATTCGGGAGGAATTGGAAAGCCTAAAGGAGCAAGGGATCATAGTCGATAGCACCTCGCCATTTAATAGTCCCCTGTGGGCAGTGAAAAAGAAGGCAGCGCCGGGGGATAATAAGGAAAAATACAGAGTGGTAGTGGACTATCGTAGGTTGAACGACAACACGGTAGACGAAAAGTACCCGATCCCTAGATTCGAAGATATACTTGATAGGTTGAGTGGGGCCGTGGTGTTTAGCACGTTGGACCTCAAGGCGGGATACCACCAAATACGGATGCACCCGAAGGACCAACATAAGACGGCGTTTACATTCGAAAGGGGGCATTACGAATTCACCAGAATGCCGTTTGGTCTGAAGAATGCGCCCATAACGTTTCAACGCCTGATGGACGAATTTCTGAGGGGGATCGACGACTCCGTATGTCAAGTATACATGGACGACCTGCTGATTTTTAGCAGAACGGAAGCCGAACACGTGGGGCATTTGAGGTCGGTATTCGAAAGGCTGCGACAATTCGGGCTGAAACTGTCAAGTGAGAAGTCCCTGTTGGGACAAACGCGGATCAATTTTTTAGGCCACACTATTTCTAGCGAGGGGGTCAGACCGGATGCGGCAAAGGTGGAGGCTATCACACGAATGGCGGTGCCACGGGACGTTAAAGGGATTCGTAGGCTTCTCGGGACGCTGAATTATTATAGAAGATTCGTACCTGAGATGGCAGAATACTTGGTACCTATCAATAACTTGCTGAAGAAAGGCGCGAGGATCGTGGTGACACCGGAAATGGAAAATAATATTCGGAAATGCATGGATAGGTTGCAGGCAGAACCCGTATTGGCGTTCCCGGATTTTGAGAAGCAGTTCAACGTCACCACCGATGCGAGCGAATACGCGTTGGGGGCCGTTTTATCCCAGGGCAGAAGTGAGGGTGAACGTCCGATAGCATACGCGAGCCGACGACTTACGAGCGCGGAATCACGGTACAGCGCGTTAGAGAGGGAGCTACTCGCGATAGTGTGGGCCATCGACCATTTCAGGCCATACATATTTGGGAGGAAGTTTCGAGTCCACACCGATCACAAACCCCTTCAGTGGGTAGGAAAACTTAAGGAAACCTCTGCGAGGGTCACGAGATGGAAAGAATTCCTTAGTCAGTACAACATGGAGGTGGTGTATAAGCCGGGAAAGGAAAACGTGGTGGCAGACTGGCTCTCTAGGGCCATCATGATCAACGCGGTAGAAGAGGACGGGGGAGGTCCATCGCGGGACGTGCGCCAATTCTTGAGGGAATGGACTCCTGAGGGTGAAGGGGCAGATGATACCGTCAGTATAGAGGACAGGGAGGGGTCCCCGGAAGAAGATAGCTCAGCGGAGGAAAGACCAGTGGCGATGGAGGAAATAGACGAAATCATCAACGACAAGCATAGACAGGTAATCTGGAAAACCAGGACAACAGGGATCATGAAAATAGATTACCGAAGATACGGGAAAAGTAGGATTCGCGTCATTTGGTCGCAACCCGGGGTGAGCGAGGAGCAAATCCGTACGGCACTGAAGGACGCCACGGAACCGGGAAAGACACACCATCTCTATGTTGGGAACAACACGGTATGGGAGAAAATAAAGCGGATGTGGAGATCCGAGCGAATAGGCATGGATAGAACGATCATCCGGTGCAAGTATGCAGTGGAAACCGTACAGGATGAGGAGCAACAACAAGCAATCACATTGGCATACCACCAGGGGAAGACCAACCACCGAGGCGTCAACGAGACGTTGCAGGCATTACGGCGAAAGTATTTCTGGTGGGGAATGAAAAAATCTATCCAAGGAATCATCGGGAAATGCGAGGTATGTATGCGCACAAAGTATGATCGACACCCCCCCAGAGGAGTTCAGGAAGAGACACCTACAGGGAATATGCCGCTACAAGACCTCCAGATCGATACATTCACCTGGAAAGGGTTCAAGTGGGTCACGATCATCGACACCTTTAGTAAAGTAGCTATGGCACATCAGGTCATGGACAAGTCTGCCAATGCAGTTGCGGAAGCCCTACAAATCTGGATACAGTTTTACGGAGTTCCCGAGAGGATCACATCAGACGGTGGCAGAGAGTTCGACAATACCGCGATTAGGGAGGAGGTGAAAAGGTTAGAGGTTGTGTGGCATTATAACACACCGGGACACCCTAAGAGTAGAGGAGGAATCGAACGTTTGCACAGCACGTTGAGTGACCACATCCGTGTATATCAGGGAGAGAAAGGGTTGGAGCCGGATGTTGCGATGAAGAAAGCCGTAACAGCTTACAACCATTCGATCCACTCCGTAACGGGGTTTTCACCTGTGGAAATACTATTCGGGATGCGCAGGCCAAGGAGAGATTGGGGGGAAACAACGACCAATGAACATCTCGTAGAGCAAATCCAGAGTACTAGGGTAGAGGTAGAAAAGACGTGGGGAAAGGTAACGGGGAGAATTCAGCGGGAAAAGGAGAAGCGGGTAGCGCGGCAGAATGTGCAGGTACGTGACCGAATGGGAGAATTAAAAATCGGAACAATAGTGTATCGTAGAATTGGAACCAACAGAGGGAAACAATTGTTACGGTACGAGGGCCCATTCAGAGTGGTTGCTATTAGGGAGCATAATCTGGTAACCATTGAAAGCATTAACGAACCTAAGAAGAGGAGAACTGTTCATATTGAACAATTGAAGCTCCCAATGTTAGAATCGGTACAGAAACCAATTGATTCGTAGTACCCTTATCGCGTATTATAAACAAATATGTTTTTTTTATTATTATTATTGTGGATGATGTCATTTTTTTTTATTTTTGTTGTTCTTGTAAATAAAGATATAGCAACATAATAGAGGCGATTGTAATTTTTATAGGATTAAGAGTTCTGTTCCATTGTTAATAAGACGTTGTGTGTTTACTTTCTGTGGTTTATTTCTTTTTATTTATTTCTCGTTCCAGCGGAGTGGAAGTGAGTTTTGGTGTACTTTAAGTTTATACTGGTACGAATAATTGTAAAGGGTTAAGGCTGATACCGGTGGCTCCGATCTAGGAATTTATAAGTTTCCGAAAATCCTATTCGTAAACTGGTGGGGGGGAGATAAAGACCGGAGACTGGCGATATCAGCCTTAATACCATCTTGTAATGTAAATAAACATAGCAATTGTATATAAGGCAGATTATTGAACGAATAAAGCAGTGTTTATTCAGAAGCCGTGAGGATTGTTTCTCGTTCCTTTTTCCTTCTTTTTTTTTATTTGCAAAGCCCGGCGACGCTTAACTTATATATATATATATATATATATATATATATATATATATATATATATATATATATATATATATATATATATATATATAAGATAAAGACCGGAGACTGGCGGTATCAGCCTTAATACTATCTGGTAATGTAAATAAACAGGCTAAGTGTATATAAGGAGGCTTATGGAACGAATAAAGCAGTGTTTATTCAGAAGTCGTGTATGTTACATCTCTTCCCTTTTCCTTCTTTTTTTTTATTTCTTAAGTCCGACGACGCTTAACTTATATATATATATATATATATATATATAATGTTATTTAAATATTTTCATTTCAATAGACATAAATGAAGGTGTTGGTGTGTTTGATGGTAATTTGCGTTTCCTGGGTCACTAGTCAATTCACCTGCAACTGCGGATGGAGGAACATGGTAATTTTGCCCCTAGAACTATTATCTGTGGTATCTACTTTTTATATTTTCAATTCATATTTTTTTTTAATTTCAGAAAAGGGTCGTGGGCGGAAAGCCGACAAATGAGAACGAGTATCCTTGGATGGTGATAATTAACACCGGATGCGGTGGATCCATCATCACCGAATATCACGTCCTCACGGCTGCGCATTGCACTGATGGAGAAGAAGCCTCGTCCATGATGGTTATTAGTGGATTGCATTACAGAGTTCGTGGGAGTGAGTATGAATGTCAAAATATTAACATAATTTTATTAAGAATCCCGGACGGAATGCAAACTGGACGGACAGTTAATTGATTAATGGTAAATATCGAAAAATACATCGGTGTACTTTGTATCGATATATTTCAAATATATATTCAAAAAGATGATTAACATTGAATTATAGTGTTAGATTTTTAATAGCAACAAATAAATATTTATGCATCGCTTAATACCCAAAAAGGATCAATTTCTTAACATTGTCAATTAAAAAAAATGTATCATAGAAACTAGAGAAAAAAGAATTATTATCCGGACTCGAATCTTGGTCCTCTCCCGTATCTTCCGTCAACTGTCTTTCTACTTAGGTTAATTGCCTACAGAAAATATTTGAAAAGGTGTGAGGAGACTGCAATAGTTTATGTAACACAACAAACGTTTATGTAAATCATGGTCCGATTTCTCACAGAAAAGTGGGCAGCGGACCCAACGGAGCAGTTGCTGCTCCCTTTTAAGGTAGGACAACAAAGTGTGACCTAATAGTCAAGTGACTACAAAGGGGGTTTCAGTATTTAGGAGATGTTAAATTAACGATGAGGTAAATACAAGGGAGTGTGGTATAATTTCAATTAAAATTCAAATGTGGTGCCGTGGACACGAGACCAAATTCTAATTTGTGAAAATTTTATTAAACCATGGAACTGGAGTTTATGCTTTAATGATTAAAAGTTCAAAGTGCACTGTTTACGTTTCGATAAAGATTCAGAAGACCTATTTGGTTATTTATATTTCAAGAAAGGTTCAAGGTAATTGTTTACCGTATAGGTGAAAAAGAATAAGAGTAAGAGGATTAAAAGTCCAAAGTCCATTTTTTATAATTATATAAGGATTTCATGAAAGTAGTACAATAATTCCATATCAATTATAAAATAGCAATGATTGCCTAACTGAACACGTGTCTGAATGATAAAATTTAGGAAGGTTACATAGAAGTTAAACATTGGGAAGATTGCAGAAAAGAAAATGACGGTCACTTGACTGAGATAAGTTAAGATAAACATTAAGTTGGTTAAATAAAAGATAAATCCTAGGAAGGTTACAGAATCGATAAACATTAGGAAGGCTGTATAAAAACGAAATAGCGACGGCAATGTGACTGATCACGTGACCCTGAAATGTAAACATTTAGGAGATTATATAAAAAAATAAACATTAGAAAGAGGTAAATAAAATAGGGGTGGTCACGAAACAGCATACAAGTCCACAATTCTTTCAGCAGGAAAAAACCAGGAAAACAAGATGGCGAAAAAAGCACTATGTCTCTTAAAGTAGTAAAAAAATAAAACATAAAGGCGGTCCGGTCTGTTTCTCCATTTAAAACCAGAAGTCTCTCAAATGGCAGTAAGACAAACAAGATGCCGGGCACACTCAGGCTATGTAAGGTGGGTACCTAACTCTTGCCTGCAGGGGGGAGGAAGGTAATCAAGGGAAAATAAATACTAGCAAACAAAATTGCTGTTGGGAATACTCAGCCTTTGAGAAAGGAGTAGCGAGGGTAATAAGAGGTCACGTGAAAAAAAAAAAGGCGTGGGGCCTATGATCATGTTTCTGATCTCACAACTAAATATTGCTGGTTTAAGTAAAGAAAGAGTAAAAAGTGTTAGTATAAAAGGGGGCCTGGTCTGGTAGTCAAGATAACAATAAAGTTTAAGGGTCCCGTGGCTGGTTAAGGCTGGGTGTAGGATCAGAGTAGCCTAGGGGGCTATCAGGTTGCCCGGTACCCTGTTAACCGAAGTTGGAGGTGGAAAATTAATCCCTGTTGAAGTTAAGATCACGATGCCCGGTGGGACTTTTAACCAGGCATAATTCCCTGCCAGGAATAACGCCCTCTCACTCGACCCGGGAATAACCCCGTGTAGCTTAAAAGGTAAGGGAAGAAAGAAAACAACTTAAAGGTTGCGTGAAGGGGATGTAGCAATCGGTGGTCAACTCTACCATGCACCATGTACTCCAGTATCAACTTAGCACATGTTTTTGCTCCTTATTCTAGGTCTCATTCTCACGATTTCTTAAGCTGCATACTCCTCAGCTGTGATACTAGGTCTCATTCTCACGATTTCTTAAGCTGCACACTCCTCAGCTCTATTGCTAGGTCTCTTTATCAATACCAATTAAGTTTCCATTCTTTTTTTGCGCAGATGCAGCAACTCGTTTATATACGTGGTCTAAGCGGCATCTTCTAATCGGACCAAGAGCGAACCAAATTCGGTTATACAGATAACCTACGGTTGGCCCCAAACATATACTTGTCTAAAAGTTATTATAAGTCCTACAGTTTTCGCTCATATGCCTAAAAATTGTCGAGGGATCGCATTGTCGTCATATAGATGATATAACTTTGGTCTAATCGAAAGATCCGGAACTGCCAGAAAGAAATAGTCACGATATGCTGCTATGTTTCTAAGGCGGATTTCTTGTCCAGGGACATTGTCTTGGCTCACCAACTAGCCGAGATGAACTAGGTCTTTATCTTCTTGAATCGGTTCTCTCGAACCCTCTAGGCATAAGCACCTCAGGGATTATCAAATATTTTGTTTTGGCTGCATTGACTTTTAGAGCTAATAGCTCCCGCAATTCCTGCTAAAGCAAGAAAAACATCTTTATCATTTTTCAACGTACGCGATGAGCTGCACCACGCACTGAAGATGTTGGTGTTGATCTGTATGCCAGCATATCTCACTGCCTCCGAAGCGTAAGTGGAAACTGATCAATCAAACTGATCAAAACTCTTTCTTATCCTACGTCATTATAAGCTCTAAAACAAATAAAGATGTGGTGGCAGAATATTTTTCGGAATCCGCATTGGTATTGGCATAGTTACTTCCAACCTTGGAGAGAACGTACGAAAGAACTTTATATCTTGTGGAGAGAAGGGAGATCCCTATGTTGTTGGAGCACGTGAATCGTTACCCTCCTCTTGGGTATAAGGGAACTTGAACAACATGGCCTGGCAATACTTCATCCTCAATACTAACTGACAATAATGATATATTATTCTTATTAATATATTCTTCACCATCACTACTTTACATTATTTAGGCTTACGATGTACCTATTTTTTTAAAAATCTTATTTATTGAAAAATATTACAATCTGTCTCAAGGACATTTATAATAGTGTTCACAGATTATCACAGTGAGACATTGTCAGATACTTATGCAGGCGACACAAAAATTCTCACAAAACAGACTACACAAGCCTCACTAATTCTACAACATCACATACTTAAATTACAAGATTGGTTCAAACTATGGAAAGTTCAACTCAACCACTAAAAATCCAAACATATAACATTTACTCATAGAAAATACACCTGCCCACTAGTTTATATTGACAACAATCAAATTCCTCAAACGGACACGGACAAATACCTTAGACTCACCTTCGACAGAAGGATGACGTGACGTCCACATGGAAATATGTAACGTAAGGCACTTAACAAACAACTCAAAATACTTCATCCTCTTTTTTCTAAATCTTAAAATCAGACAAAAACTGGATACATATACATACTTACGTAAACCCATATGGACATACTTATGACAAATATACGGTATTGCTAAAAACACCAACAACAACTTCAAAACCTTCCAATAAAAATTATTGCGATTCATAACCAAATCACCATGGTACGTTACTAACAAAACTCTACACAACGACCACCTACCAACAGTTGACCAACATATAACGATCCTTTACCAATGATTTTATACTAATTTAAACGGACATCCGAAAAAATTAATGAGAGGCATGGCCATAGCTGACACCCTAGAACATGAGGAGGAGACTAAAAATGATGAGATTGGATGAGAGATCTTCTTCCTTAAACAACCTAAGAAAATGCAACAAGCCAGGGAAGAGGTGCTGCTGAATACTTTCCTTTCCTATGCCTGACATGTCATTTATATGTTGCAGCACATTTGCTGATTGTTAAAAAAACTTTGAACTTTTTATAGGCAAACAAAATCTAAGCCCAATTATTGCTTTATTTTCGTTTAATAGATTTTTTAAAAAAACTTTTGCAATACATTTGGAACTTTATTACAAAAAAGTTCATTAGAACTTTAATTTTAAGAACTTTTTTCCTAAAAAGTTTCTCAGAAACTGGTAAAATGAAACTTTTTGAAAAGGTTCTATAAAAGGTTCAAACTCTGGCTCTTAACTATTAAAAAAAAAAGAAAAAAGAAACTTAAATTAATTCTAGCCGTCCTTTCATTTCCTTCACTACATCTTCATGTATAAAATTATTTTAAATGGATTATAGGAAAGTTTAAATGTTGAAACTTTTTTTTCATTTCCAGAAAACCAGTTCATGAGACGACATCAAGTGAGTGAGATAATTCAGCATCCCCGCTATGATAGAGAAGCAGGCTACATCAATGATATTTCAGTCCTCTTACTTTCTGATAAAATAATTTTCAACCAAAGGGTCGGTCCAGTCTGTATGCCTTATACTAAATTCACACTTGTAGGAAAGGATATCAAAATCACAGGTATACTATTGAAAAATAAATATGATCGATTAAGATGAATTATATTGTCAAGAGTATGGCAAACTAGCGAGATTGATAAATTCATTCATGAAGTTCCAAAAAGCACAAAATGTCATACAGCCCAAAAACACACACAGTGGCGTAGCGTAGTTATCTGTCGCCCGGAGCAGATTTAAAATAAATATGTATTATTTTAAATACCAAAACATTAATTAACTTGGTTTTTAATAATACTGTTACTATTTTACTTCACATTTCTTAAAGAAATAATAATATTATTTTCTGTCTCAAACCAAGAAGTGATAATAGTTGTTGTTATTTAGGGCTAAGAGGCGTAAAACTTCGAGGTCATCAACGCCTATCTAATCTTCAGCTCAATCACCTAAATAATAAATTACTTTGGGAAGAAAACAAAACTAAAATTTAAATTTTGTTTAGGAAAACAATAAATTTAAGAAAATTGATCACCGACCATATTTTAACTTATCATTTTTTAAAACAAGTGATAATTTTGGTGTGATTCCTAATTTGGTTAGGAAGGATAAGTAATAAGGACACTCTGGAAGAATGTGGCTGACAGTGAGAGTACTGCAGCAGGGTCGTCATTTCGGTGTAGGCTGTTTGCTTATTTTTTATTTTTTTTTTTTATCTATTTATTGAATAATAATACAATCAGCCACTGGAGGGCTATAAGTATTAGGGCTAAGAGTTCTCATTCAAACAATATATACAAATAATAGAGAAATAAATATAAATATAAAAAGTAAATAAATAATACTGATGAAGAAAGAAAATAAAAGAAAAAAAAAATAAACAATAACATAAAAAGAAACTTATAAACACAATCATACCTATATACAATATATACATTCGCCCAAGAATCTCCGAGCCAGGCTTTTTCCCCCACATGTGGAAGGCAAAGCAAGACTCCAGGAGATTCCAGTGCCACTTTTCCAGCCGCATCACTGGTATTAGAAGCCAATGGAGACTGAAAGAGGGCACTAGAGCCACAGACGCTCGGGACATGAGTGGAGAAGCTGGCCATTGCCAGGACTCCAGAAGCATATTTACAAGAGATCTCTGGGCCACTGCCGTTTTAACCTTCGTGGAGGATTGTAGGGATGAAGGGAGCTGGATAGGGATTGAGCTAGAGGATTTGGATGATGGATAAGGTTTTGGTGAAAGTTTGAGAATCTGGTTGGGATGATGTCGAGGACAAATGGGATGTTAAGGTCATGGTGTAGGGTCTTGTTTGTGACATAATATGGGGCATTGACTATTGTTCTAAGTACTTTGGACTGGAAGGATTGGATGCGTTTGATATTCGAATGTTTAGCAGTTCCCCACAGTTCAAGTCCGTAGGTCCATGATTGCTTATTAAGAATATGTTAGGTTTCTATGTTCTATCCTTAATCTGTTTAAGGCGACTGCTTCTCCACGAATAGAACGGTTCGAGGGGATTTTTTGTTTGATTATATTTCCTTCAACTTGCTCGATGGGTACTCGTTTGACATGGATTGCCAGGCAAGAGCTATTTCCTTTAAGGGAAAGGCTTGTGTCACGTGGTGTTAACATGGGTAGCGGCCCGGCCAGGAACATGGTGAGCGTTTGCTTGGCTGCCGGATCCGCTCATTACCAGTGACCCAGAAAAACATATCGACTTTATTTATTTACTTAAAACCCTACTGTGCCTAGTAGGCAATACGGGTGTCTGCAATAGTATGATTTTAGGCAGGTCAGCTTAACATCTCACTGCTGCAAATAAACCTTGTTCTTCTGCTCTTCCTTCATTTTTTTCTCTTTCTTCTTTGGTCGCTTTTCTCATCCGTTTCACGCCAATGGTATAGTACCTCTTCCTCCTCTTCTTAAATTGAAATGGGCTGGCCCCACCGCGACTTTCCACTCGTACACAAAATCTTTGTAGTACGGGTAGTAGAGACCGGTTTCCCTCAGTAACTTAGCCCTTAGTTCTTCAAAGGCGGTGCAGTCCACTATGATGTGCTCAGCAGTCTCCGGAACACCGCAGCTAAGGCATAGGGGGTCGATGTCCATCCCATGGCAATGAAGCTTTGCTCGAAAGCCCCCATGGCCTGTGAGAAATTGCGAGAGCCAATAGTCCGGAACGATCCACCTTGCTTCTAAACGTGACCGGACGGTGGGGAAGTACTTCCTCAAGGTAGATCCTTTGGGGTTATCACCCACCGCCGGTTCCATTCCTCCATTGTGTCGTCCCGTATAATGTTTTTCCATTTGCAAGGATTCTCGTCAATTCTCACCTTAAGATTTTCCGGTAGACCTGCTGAGCCGTTTTTCTTAAACATGTGTTTCATCATGTCTTCACGCAGGAGAAGGTCGAGAGGTACCCCTCCTGCTAATACCTGCACCGCCTCATGGGATACGCTTCGATACGCCCTGGTGACCCGCAGCAATGCCGTTCGCTGTATTGTCGCCAACTTACTCTTCTGTCGGTGCGAGAGGTTCTGGTTCCAGGCGGGAGACGCATACCTCATGATACCCAGAATCACTCCCTTATAAATTGTTAAGGTTGCTGGGTATCTGAGGCCCCAGAAAGCGCCCCCAACCCGACTGAGACCGTTCAAAGATAGGGCCACCCTGTTTTTAAGATACTCCAAGTGAGGGGTAACGTTGAATTTTTTCCCAAATTTACGCCTAGATAAGTGACCACCTCACTTGGACGTATTCTCGAACCTTGAATCGTTATGTTAATAGGGTGTGCCCTAGTCAGTTTTCCCTTTCATGACAATTGTATGAGTCTTTGAAGCGGCCATTGATAACTTTTTCCTCTCGCACCATTCTCCGACCAAGTTGGCGCATCGTTCCGCTTCTTGTCTTAAGCCGGCTATGCTATTGGAGGCCACCACTACTGCCAAATCGTCAACGTATCCAGTGGCAGGGAACCGCTGTTCTTCTAACACTCCCAATAACTCATCAAAAACGAGCTTCCATAAAGCTGGACCAAGTACCGATCCTTGAGGACATCCCCTCTCTATGAAAGCTTCAGTCTCATAAGAACTGCCACGAACCTTAACACGTCTATCCTGTAAGTAGCTTCTTATCAAGGCATATAAGTTACTGGGAGCATCATATTTCTGCAGCTGCTGGAGCACAAGAGGCCACCAGACGCTGTCGAAGGCGGAGGATATGTCAAATAGCATCAACATGACATACCGCTCCGTCCTCAGTTCAACGTCTTCACGTACTCTCAGCAGGGCATCAGCGGTTCCCTTCCCCTTAGTGGAGCCGTATTGCCGTGGATGACTTGCTCTGGCAAGAACTGGTGCTAGACTGGTCATGATAAGGTTCTCCAGGACCTTGCTCATCACAGGGAGGAGGCATATTGGTCTATAGGACTTGGGGAGCTGTTTATCCCTATTCCCTCCCTTGTAGAGGAGTCTCAAATCGGCGATCTTCCAGGTTTTGGGAAAGTATCCCCTCTCCAGACAATCATTATATATTCCCAAAAGTCTCTCATCAATGTAGGGAATACTACTCTTTAGGATCGCCGCATCTATAGCATCGAGTCCTGGAGCACGACCGATTTTCTGCTTATCCACAGCAATACGGAGATCATATATGTCCCATCGTGGGCACAAGTCCGTATCAGGTGGGTATGCCGTGGTGCGTCTCACGAAGTTTTCCTCATCGCTGTCTTGAGACGGATCATCCCTGGGGTACGTCCTCGCAATGAAGATTTCGGCTGCCTCCTCGAAGTTGGTTGCCTGGACGTCTCCGTGCTTGAGGGCTGCCAATGTTTGCTGCGTACTAAACTTCCCCATGGCTACCCTATAAGGAATACCCCAGGGATTCTTCGTGGACTCTTCAACAATGAACTCATCCCAGGACTTTTTCTTCTGTGAACGCACCTCGTTTCGGTACACCCGGGCCTTGGACTTGTACTGATCACGGAGTGTAGAGCGCCTCTCGTCGCAACTACACCTCTGATACAACCGCCGTGCCTTGTAGAGCTCTCTCTTAAGGTTTGTTAAGGCCGGCGTCCACCATGGAACAGGTCGAGCTTTCGCCTTCCGGTGCTGAAGGGATTCCTCAGCGGCATCACAGACAATATTAGTGATCCTAGACACCCTGTAATCCAGGTCATTAGTCTGTTCTATTTCCGCTTCATCCCATTCATCATCTACCAATTTTCCCTCCAGCGTCGACCGGAAGGCATTCCAATCTGCCCTTCGGGTTAGATAACCCTTGGCAGTACCGTGGGAACTTTCTGAATTTTCCACCAGCCTAAGGATATCGCTTGGTGGTCGGAACTCGTCTCAGATCGGAGGGTCCAATCAACGATGCGATTGGCTATTAATGGCGTTGCCAGTGTAACGTCAATCCAACTCTGCCCCCTAGCGCTAGAGAACTTAGGGGTAGCAGAGGGATTGTTTAATACTACTAACTGGTTCCGGGAAATAAATTCGCCTAGCTTTGCGCCTCTTCTATTCGTTTGATTGGATCCCCAGACCGTGTTCCAGGAGTTGGTATCTGAGCATATGATCACATTCCTGGTGGTAGCCGTGATCATCTCCATGGCGGATATGTCTTCGTCAATATCGTTGCTATCAGGTAGGTAGGCTGATACTAACGTAAAAGCCACGTTACCCCAATTAAAATAACAAGCGACGGAATCCGCCATCGTATGCTGTCTCAGATCCATCACATCGAGGTTCGGGTTATTAACCACTATAGCAGCCCTGGGCCTCCTCTCTCCACTGCTCAAGGCGATAACCCTCGATGTGAGGCCAAACCCGTGACTATGTTCCCACGGCAGCTCGATTCTTGGACCGCCATTATGTCGTATCGTTGGGAGAGAGCACGAAGTTCATCTGCCACAATGTGTCGGCGGCCCATGTTGAGCTGGAGGATGGTAAGCTTACTCATAGAAGGTTCTTTAGCTACCTCTTTGGCCCACTGTAGATGCACAGGGCATTCCCTGCTACCCGCCTTGTGTTTCCTTTGAACAACGGGAGCATTTGCCC